GATCAATATTATTCCTGTTTAATTAATGAAGGAGAGTACAGTAGACAATTATAGCAGGATCGTCAGTTGTTGCTCTTTTGAACCTTTCCTGATATGTCAAGTTGCTGAGTTGTTTTCTCTTTTTGAATCGACTCAGGAAATAATGAATCAAAGAAGCTGATATACATCCACCATTCTTCATTCTACGGAGCCAAGTTAAATGACTTCGTCCTCCTTTTCCTGACAGTCTAGCTTTGGGAAACGATACACAGTAATATAAGCCGCTAGGCCGACGTGTTTTAAGTGTGAAAGAGGCACTGAAGCCGGAGTTTTAAATTGTAAGTATCTATTGTATTATCATATTGGCTATGTCCAAATAAATACTGCTGGGTTTCGACGTGCATAAGCAATCCTTCGGACTAAATATTAATAAACACGAAGTTGTTGGTTTCAGACCTGGACGTGTAGATCAAATATTTTCCCTTCATCAGGTTTCGGAATATAGACATACTTCTTAGCTCTAGTTGTATTCATTGACCTTAAAGCATTATTTGACTCAGTTGATCGAGGGATTCTATGATTGTCTGTCATTAAAAGGGTTACCAGTCATGTACATCAACCTTGTAAAAACTACTGAAATCCTGAATTAGTGATTTGAACTAAGGTAGTTGAGCACGTTGACCGATTCGCTCAGCTTGGAAGTTTCATAAACTTTGGTCGGTTGGCGTATGACGCAAACTTAGAACAAAGTTAGTAATGTCGGTTGTCTTTCATCAACTTGTGTCACCTGTGGCGTAGGAGAGATACTCATCTCTCAGTCTATGTAATCATTGACAAGTGGACTGAACCATGTAAGTAGGTTTAGACTGTCTAGTTGTGATTGACGTGATTATCGTAACCAGTGGTTGGGGACTTTAAATGACATGATGCAGGTACATTCACTCTTTCTTCCCTTAAAATCTGAGTCCCGAAACCTTATACTTTTTTATCTTTCTCGATATTTAATATTTTCTATTGCTACTGCTTCTATTAGTGATGCTTTTACTATTCCTACTACTCTGTGTTAATGTGGTATGGCAGCCTAAATGGTTGCGCGTATGTAACAGGTTCTTTGTTGCATATAACTGACTGAAAAACCTAATGATATAGCAAGTCTTTTGAATCCATTGAGTAGTAATTTAGGGATTTTTGGGATAACTTTCTCTCCAAACGCTAATTATTGCTTCAGGACTCGTCCGTTCATAGGGAGTGAAGTAGTGGATCGTGTTATCCACTCCACTTATTTTGGAGGCCTCATCAACCCTGGTGCATTGATTTCTGGTGACATTTTAAGATAAATAAAAGGCGTACTTGTTTTCCAGTTTTGTCCACTTACGTTACAAGTAAAATGCCCTCGTGTTTCTCCAATTCAGAGTATACCGCACAGCGGTTTAACCTGTACTAATTTATGGGAGTGAAATATGAACTGTAAAAGTTGAGGGTATGTATAGATTACTAGTATTTGAGGCAAATATAATAAGTTGATTGATAAGGCAGTAAATTTTGATGAGCTGAGGCCATGTCTACCGAACTGTGTAGTAAAATGTGAAATTCCTGTTTGGAGCTTCCGCGGTACTCACAATCTACGTTTGAATCTTTTCCAGGGTTTATCTCAAAACTGATCTCAGTGACGTAGTTGGATCCTTTCTTAAGCTGAACACCATTCCATACTGTTGTTGCACTATCTCATCCTTCCTGTTTAAGTTATATTTTATGCTTCACTTTCCAATGCAGTCGATATGGTCATTTTGTCTTTTGTTTATTTTTTGGTGGTTCTTTTTCTTATTACACACATGATCTTAGCTCAGAGAGCCGAGATGCTGATACAAAATCTTGCAACAGGAAGCAATACATATCCAGACGAAGTCCTACATTATTGGTAACTGACAGACTATTTTACCGTTTTCTGCTTACTATTATATCTTAATCATAATTAAGTTTCCTATGAAAATAGTGCAAACGTCTTAGTAACTTGTCTTTTGAATCTGTATTTTACGTTATAATACACCTGTTCAAGTTTTAATATTCCGGTTGATAGAGAATTCAAGTTATGACCCCTTACTACCTTGTGAATTGTTTCTCCGAATCTCGCTTTTCATTCGTTGATTATACGACGTCACCCATGATAGTCAATTACCATAAGCTGTGTAGAATCAGTCAATTACATCACTGAATAAAATATTTATCGATTTTATTTGTTGTAATGTAGTTCCCCAGCTATACATAATAAAAGATTAAATAACTAGTACTACACATTGAGGTAACTGATTTTTGCAATTATCCTAACAACCTGTTTGCAAATCGAAATGTTTTCACTCAAATATTCTATGTAAAATCTTTTAATAATCAACCTTTGTTTGTATCTTCTACCAGCTACAAATGCTTGTTTAACAACTGCTGAAATGTATAGTCTACATTTTTTAAGTTACATTTCTCAGGTGTTAAATACTGAAGTACAACAAATTGATGACTTAGGATTAACTTAGAAATTTAAATCTATTTTTTAATGGTTTATAATTTCACCGTGCAAACCAGACTTCATAGTTTAGCAGTTGTGCTAAGTAATGAATTAGAATTTAGTCCTACGGTATGTTTCCAAATACTCTGAAATTTCTAATATAAGCGGGGTTCGCATTCTCTTTTAGATAAGAATGCAAAGCATTCGTTGAATATGACTTAGGGGGGAACAATATAACCATTTTTAAAAGAACAATTAAACTGATGGATGCGCTATTTGATGATTTATGAAAGATAAATTGCCGTTTTCAGCCATATCAATGTGTGGCTGCTAATGTTCTTGGTCTTGTGGCTATGGTTATGTGGGGCACACAAAACATGCTCTTTTCTCAAGTGAGATTTATCTAACACAGCTTTATGATATGACAGTATTTGAAAAAAATCATGCTTCTTAACCGATGTCAATCCAGAAAGTCATAAAATTTTCAATTGTTAGAAATATTTGTTTAAATTACTTCGGATAATGGAGGTTACAACTGTGTATGGAGAATAAGACGTTGAGTATAGTCATGAACTTTTATCGATAAGTATTTTCTTGATATTAAGCTTATTTTATTAATCAAAAGGGAATGAGGTTCATCTAAAGTCATTGTTAGCCGAATCTGATAAACATTCAGTCTACAGTATAGAACTACAAACTGTTTGTCGAAACCTCTTCACTCCATTCATCATTATTCCACTATATTCTTTAAAAAAGAGTGGTTATTTTATTTATGGTTATGACTTAGTATAGCTATTTTATATAGTCTCATTGTAGTTAATATTTTGTCAAATAACAAAATATCCTACGAGTCCATGATCGAAAGAAGCGGTAAATTAACTATTGTGAGAACTGGCGCTACTTTCTCATTGTAGAGATTATGCGATCATTTCGTTTAGTGTGATAACTGATGTCCAGAAAAAACTGGACGGTAAATTAAACTTAGAGGTACATCTTTCAGAACCTCTGACTGGATTTTGTAAATGATGCCACAGGATGAATTTGCAGCTGAATATCCTTAATTTACTACATGTTACAGAATAGATGATATGACTAACCTGTTGCTGAGTTATGCTTATGGTTGTTTCCGAATAGGATGAAGAAAAGGTATCGTCAAAGGATTTATGTACCAGAAGAGTAGGTAAGCTGGTATATATACACATCAAATCGGTCTGTCACGGGATTCTATCTTTCACTTGGAGGTATATAAGAGGATAACTACAGTAGGTTAAACTGATATTTACTGTATTAAACGTTCTAGATGACCCTTCATGACAAGATCATCTATTCTGATATCATACTAAAATTGTACTGGTATTAAAATCCAATTAGGTTTATCAATTGTACTGTTTTTACTGTAAATCAACTTTTTTATTTCGAATGTATCGATAGTTATTAAAAATGTAATCTGTTATGCATTTATCTTGTTATAATTAAGGTTTTTTGAACTTTTTTAAAATTAATGGATGGCGTTTGAATATACTTGCTATTGAGAATATAATTGGTTCGATTTCTGTCTATAATAGTCATTAGGTGGTTTTTCATTCAAGTCAAGATGTTTCAAAGAGTAGGTAGTTTTTCTTTATGCTTAATATTGGGATCATTGATGTGGTACTGATAAATTTTCAGTCCAAAATGCTGTACTCATTCTAACCAGGTTTTACTGACTGATTTGGTTTAATACTCCCAAATTAGTGAAAATTCATACAGTTTCGTTCACTTCTACTTTGTAGTATTAGTTATAATGTATGATCGCTTTGAAAAAAGGTCAAATAAACTAGAAGTATATATTACTGAACTACATTCAAATATGAATGATGGACATGCTTACTCAAAACACACTACAAATTTTTACATTTTTTTTAGAGTGATCGTCTTCTTCTTTATGCTTTTTTACTTAGTATCTTCGATTAATGAAAAATCTACCAATATATCCTTTTTCTGCCTTCTTTTGTGGAGTTAATGAAGGGTTTTCAATTGATAAGACTGTTAGTTTTTTATACTGACTTGCAATCAACTTTGGGATTCTTATATCTTTCTTTTTCTTGCCTCTAAATCCAATCGTTTTCAGTTTTGATAGTTGTGTAGTATCATTCAGATGTCAGTTTCTGTGTGCGATTAAGATAATTTTAGTTTACTTGCCTATCTGAACTTTCATGTCTTGTGTATGAATTACTTGTGTTATTATTACCATTATGTATTCTGTACTTAGTACCATAATCATATGCCAGTTATTTCAATAAACGTAAGTAGTTTCGTTGAGCATAGGGTCAGTAGTTCGAACGTTTGACGTTCAACTACCAAGTCACCCCATCAGGTTCCACACTATTTCCTCGTGGAAAGCCAGATAGAGTAACTAACTCACACATAGAGCTTGCCTCGAAGTCAAGGACATGAAACTGTACTATGATATTCTTTATTGATTTCGGTGATCAACTAATTTCATTAACTGGATCGTTCATTTTTATTACTTTTTTTATTTCAGCTCAAAGGATATATCGTCGTCCGCCGGTAGTCATGCTGTTCATTCATTAAAATTAAATGTAGATGGTAATTCATTAAAAACTGTATTGTTAGATGAAGATTTGAATGTTCACTTACATTCAAATGTTTTACCTAATTTGACTCCAGATTGCACAACAACAACAACACCGTCTACTATTTTGATTAATCCATCTAGAATCAACACTTTGCCGTTTAATACATCCAGTAATCCAGTCAACTCTGTTATGGGTAATCAACATGATAGTCATGCTCCTATTTCTAATGAATCAATTAAACCATCAATAAATGTCAATATTGATGTAAGCAAATTTCGAAGTATAATCTTTAAAAAAATTCTTATCACTTTGTAACATCGTTATTCTTAAAATCAAGTGAAGGCTGGTAATAACCGTATATTTATGTTTCATAAATGTTCGCGAAAAATCCATTTTATCCTGATAAAATTAGTTTTATACTTTGTAATGTAACTAATAGTCAATCATAAAAGTTATGCAGGGTCTGGCACTAATCTCAAATATCAGGTTTCAACACTAGAAATTAATAGAGGTGCTCTCATAACGCTATCTACTATCTTGGGTCCGGTCACTTATTAGATCTTTGGATACCGTATCAAGACTTTTCGTACTTAAATAAATTTATTATTTCAAAATACCTGATATTTAGCGTTCCATCAATTGATACCAGTTAGTAATGATAACTGTCGTCGAAGTAAACAGGTCTACACAGACACCAAATTGATCACAATCTTTTATATTTGTTAATAAAGTTGATTAAGTCGTCATTCGTAGACTTTACGGTTAAAGTACCTGCCCTACCTACTTTTGTTTTGGAAACCTTCAAAAAAGAAATGTGTTGTCCCATGACGGGTCGACCAATTTTTATTTTTATTGTCAGTCGCACAAGAAAACTTTGTTATCAATATATAAACACAATATAGACTACGAGATTAAAGGTGGAAACTTATTGAAATTTCTTGTTATTACTTGTAAATTGTAGGCACTAGTAGAATTCTGCTTCGCCTACTTCGGGTAATCGGATGGTGTTATTGATTTTGACACAAATAAAGAGTATATCAAATCTGACTACATAAGTCTAGACTTGGTAAATGAGTTAATTTAGTTAAGTTGATTTCGAATAATACCTGTTTCCCAACTGCCTGTATGAAACGTTAACTTATTTCTCTCCTAACTCCTAATGATTATTTTTATTCAGTCAACGATTTTAGAGCCTTCTTTAACTGTGTCCAAATGAATTTATCAGTGTTATTAACAAATCTACTGCTGTTACGATACATAAGAAAATGTTTTGACGATGCAAGCGTGTTAATACAATCACTAGTAATCCTTTGTTGATTTTGTTGAATGAATCTCATTTCTATCATTCATACAAAATTGCATTCTAAGTTAATTACCTACCGAGCTTACTGTTTGTTCAACGCTCATTAATGCCACACCACTTTTTAATGATTATTTATCATTCCACTTTCACTAAAAATATGTTTCAAATGCATACAACCTGCTTCTAGTAATTTGTATTCTTTTCTCTCTTTCTCTCCCTCCCTCTCTCCCTCCCTCTCTCTCTCTCTATAGAAAACGAGGAACGTTTCCGATCCTACGCCACCATGTTTATCATCATCAAAAATGAAAATGAATTCATCACCACCAACATCTACACTTGTAATTGATAGCAACGATCAAATTCTTACTGAACCAACTTGTATACCTATTTCTATACCAAATACTAGAAATTCCGCATCCATTTCTCGTGCTCCTATTCTTCATTCTTCTCCTTCTCCGATAACACATACTTCATCGGAAAACCCCCAAATCAGACAGCGTAATGTTACTACGATTACTACTACTACTACTGCTACTACTACTACTACTACCACTATCACAATTAATAACAATATTATGCCAGGTGCTACTGGTTCAAAGGTGCTCAGATCAAAATCAAATCGTCTATCAGTGGTTAAAAAGTAAGCCTATGAATTAATAATTTAATTGTCAAATAAATCATACACATAAATTACGTATCTATTATAATTACGACATATTTAACTATAATCAGAGAGGGATTTTGTGGATATTACAGTAATTTGATTATTGAATTCATGAGTCAATTGAAGTTAGACCACTATAGAAAACCTGGGAGTACTAGATGGCCGTTTCGTTATAGTATGAGACTCCTCAATAGTGCGCATCCACGATCCTGCCTCGCGAGTTCGCACTCAGGACCTATCAGTTTAGTGGTTAAGCGCTTGGGAGCGAAACTAATAGGTTCAGGGTCCGAATCTCGCGAGGCAGGATCGTAGATGCACACTGCTGAGGAGTTTCATACTAGGACGAAACGGCCATCTAGTGCTCCCAGGTTTTCTATAGTGGTCTAACTTCAAGTGACTCATGAATTCAACAACTAAATTAATATTTAACTATACTTTCCGTTGTGTAAACTGGTTATGAGCAAATATCATTACAGTTAAGATGTAAATTTTTCTATTGAAATGATTTATATTCAACTGTTCCCTCGTAATTTTCCAATCCACAAATAATATTTTAATTTCAAATTTCGATTTTGGCTCTGAACTTCTTTTCTCTCAAATAGTGCTAGGTATTTTGTTTTCTAAGAAAACTTTTTAAAACTAGTTTATACATTCTTTTTAGTCATATGTGATATGTAGTCATTCTACTCATATTCTGTTGACAGATTAATTACCAATTAGGTGAGTTATGTATTCAATATAAGACTTGACATACTTGGTAAAATAAAACAAAATAACGAAAAAATACATGTCTTGTCACCTGTCTATAGCTACGTAAATCGAGTTAATGCACTTAGTAAACTCAATGCAAAGTTCTTTTTCAGCCGAACTTGTACTTTTAGCCAATAACGTTTGATCCAGCCACGAATGTCGAGAAAGCCGAAGGTTTATTTCTGTTCCAACCGATAATACAGAAGGAAAGGCGTGTGTATTTATAAAACGTTTTCGACGTTCCTTCGAGAATAAGCCGGTTAGCATACGAGCTTCATAAGGCCTTATTCATTAATGCGTAAAAGGTTTAAGTTCAAAATTGCAATTATTATGAAATTCTGTCGTGGCAGAATAGGTAATATTTTTATTCAATCTTTATACTAAATGCGTTTCCCGACAATATTTTAAAGCAAAAAAGGAAAAACCAACGATATTTAGTAAACGTTTTCTCTGGTTGAGGATATTTAAGATTTTAAAACAAATAAACTGATTAGGTGATTTTACGTCATACGATAGGTATTTCTGTGTTTAGTGCACTTAGATTTATGCTATTTATAACATTTACTCATCGTATCCCACTCTTCTGACTTGATAAAAACTGATGGGTTTCACTTTATCTTCATGAAACTACAAGTGTCGCAAATTGCCAAATATCTACTAAGATTTTATTGATCACCATTATGTCAAATCTTCAGATAACTGAAGTTCGAAGTCGGAACATTACTATCACCATTGTATTCTTCTGACCAGGCTAGTCGTAAAGGTATTTCTCTAGTAACATGAATTACATAGTGTTTATAAAGGACACATGAATAAAGTTAAACAGTCGGATTTATGAATTTGCACACGCTCATCGTAACCACTCCATACCCACCATTTAGAATGTTACATTTAAGTTATTATCGTCAATATATTGATTAATGGTTTTGAAAATTTTAAGTTGCCACCTTTTAAAATGTTCGTTCTTCGTTGAACTTATGTTTCCCTAACACTTTCCATCATTTAAGGGCAATTTATATCACTAACTGACATCAGGTAGAAAACCACTGGAAATAGTAAAACGTCGACCGTTTGTATCGTTATAGGTTTGGATACCACAATAGTTCACATCTACGATTTTGTATTCGATCAAACTCAAAACCTTCCATTCTCATCAAATACATAATATCTTTCCACAGTTGTCTCTAAATTTAAATGTTGGGTTATTAAAATTCAGTACATTTGTCATATAATGAACAATATGTGCAACCAATATCATTAGGTTAGTTTCTGTCTTATTTTCAATGTAGTTGACTCCACATATCATGACTTCAGGCAATGTTAGTTTGTAATTGTACAAAATCTTCATCAAACCATTTCAATAAACTACGACTATAGTTTCTACTAACTTCTATATGTATATTCCTACTTATAACTAGTTTATCTATGAGATACTTGTCAAAATGATGTAAATTGTTTGAAGTAAGAATTTTCTGTTTAGTACTATTTAGATTAACACAACTGAAATGGATATAATCAAACAAGTTTCATAAAAGGTTCTACAATTTCATTTATTCAAATTCATTTAACCGTGAACAATTTTTGTTCTTATCTGTGCTGATTGTTTTATTATGGTAAAGGAATTACTTCACACCCTTGTTACATCGACTATGGTAAAAGATTGTTGAGTGTTTTATTTGAAGTTTTAATCGGAATAATTGTATGCATCAATATACTTACTGTTTAGGCGTTTTTACAAAAGTTTGTTGTAATTACTATTTACAATTACTGTAATTTAAATGAAATTTTAATTTAAGGCAAAGTACAATTAAGTTATGTGTACTTTAGTAAATAATAAGGTTTCAGGAAAAAAATTAGTTAATTTTATGAAAAAAAGGAACCGATCATCTGATTTCCTTAGAAATTATATTTGCCATAAGCCTAGTCTTGATATCGTTACAATTTATACGCTATTACCAACTTTCGTCACATTATTATTATTATTATTATTATTATTATTATTATTATTATTATTATTATTATTATCGTCACACTTGTCTTTTTCCTAATTCCTGCTTGCTATTGTCATTTCTCTTCCACAATTGAACTATTTCATTGTCAATAAAATTGTATTGCTTTTAGTTACTGTAGTATTAGTTATAGTCAGCTGTTTCTTATTCCACTTTTTTTTCAACTGAAAGCTTTCAACCTTATATCGAATGTTTTAAAATTTATTTCAAAGGAAATCATTGTATAATAATAATATTTATGTTATTCTTTGTCTGGCCTAATTGATCTACGTAATTAACTTATTAATTAAGTTTAATCACTGAATGTTTTTTTGTGAATAACCTTTAGCAAAGGTGTAATTAGCTTATAATTTTATGTCATATCAGTTGACGAGGCTTTAAATATTCATGAGATGAGATGGCTGGTTCATGTATTGTATATGCACAATCACCGCCTACCTCGATGTGTGGTACTGGCGTAAGAATAGGTTGAAAGCTGGGGACGGGAAAATCAAGAAGTAAGATTAGTCCATTAAGTTGTTGACTATTAGTCTGAGCCATTATCAGAGCTTTAGACTATTACTACCGGTTGACTGAGTCCTAAGGTTGTTAGTCAACAATGTTCTTCTAGTTCATAAACTCACCTGTCTTTGTTCTAAACAAGTACAATTTTCTTGATTGAATTTTTCGACAAAATCAATATTGATTATTCATGAATTTATCTTTTCATCATGCAGATGGACCCACCTTTTAATATTCTTACAGATCTTAAACGTATTACTATTCATTGTTTACCTGCTTCTTCGGTTTTTATGTTTCTTTTTTCTTTAAATGAAATAATGAACCGATTTAATTTAAACCAACATTAAAAACTGAAGGCACTGGACTGTCGTTTAATCTTAGTATGGGATTCTTCAGCAGTGTGCATCCACGATTCTGCGCGCAGGATTCGGACCCACGACCTTCGGTTTTGTGCACAAATGCTTAGTCTCTCGACCACTGAGCCGGCATCTACCTGTGTTAAGCCGCAACCTCAATCAATCTGCGGCATCGCGCAACCATTTTCGATTGTCTTATGTTGCTAATATCTTCAATTTCCTTCATTCTAATTTTCTATTTATTAAGCCCAATTTTTTATTCTCATCTGAATTGTGACGTATTGAACTAATTTGTATTCTTGCTTTTTAATTCTGTTCATTTAACATCCTAGCAACCGGAGATATTTTACTGACTAGTATTTGGTCGGTGATAATGGAGAGATTGGAAGTTAAGCTACTACTGAAGAACTGGTTCGCCTTTCGACGTCTTACTTTTTGTTTAATCAACCTCGTAGTAAAAATGTATCTCTTACGCCATCGTAATTCTATACTTATTTTGCTTGTATCTATGCTACTTGTCATTCTGATTAAATTCAATATGGTTTCCGTACTTCTTCGCCTTATAGCTATAACTTTTCTCATATGAATATATTTTCATCACACAAATCTATATGTGTTTATCTGAATGATTAAAATCCTGATCTCTGTTTATTTTTACTTTCTTAACAGATCTCATCCATGGATGCGTTATACATTTTGTTCACTGACAGTATTTTTGATTTATTGGCTTTTTAATGGTTTTCTCTTGGGTCTAACTGTTGGTTGTATACTAACATATACATTCATTACAGTGTATAATTATTTGCATAGTCGTACAAACTATTCTAATCAAATTCTCTGTCCAATATCAGGATTGCCATTAGATCACTTATGCTGTTCACTGCATTATCGGCAAGAACAAGAGGGCCAGTATCAAGGTTCACAATGGTGGCCAATCTATTCACCTGCTATGCCAAATTTAACTTCTATTTTAACTAACAACGCGAACAGTACTAATAAATGTATGCAGTTAAGAAATTTGCCTAATTTCACTGTACCAAATATGCTTGAAGAAGATGTTAACAAATCAACTATCTCAGGTCCATTGGGAAATAGTTTAGGTTTTAAATATGACAATAATGGACGGCCCGTATACAAAGGATGGTTAAATGAGGTAGGTTATTAGAAGAAAATAAAGACTATCATTTTAATCAAATCATAATAAATGTCCTAGTTCTTTAATTTATAATCGCTTTAAAGCTCATGAAAATCGTGTATTCACCACTGATCAATTTTAAATTAGATAAGTGTTCTTTTGATATACTGGCACATTCAACTTTGAAGTGTCATCAATGAAATAATACGTTTCATAGAAAGAAAGAAAGGATAAATGAATAGTCTTATTTTTTAGAAAAAAATTAATCTCAATGTGTATGTGTAACTAGACATCAACAGTATATGCTATAAAGGCTCCTATTGCTATCAATTTAACATAAGCTACAAACAACAATCATCACTTGTTACGATAAATCTAACAATTAATTTCATGTGATAGAAAATCATAGTTTTGCTTTTCAGGGAAATAATCATTAATAAATTGAGAAAACAAATTCGCCCTGATATGATAACTAATATTCTTAATTTATGTCATTATCAGTTGTTGGTAATCTCGTTAATGATGTCGTGTAACTTCCCATCGTTTATATTTAGGACTACAACTGATCATTTTCTGTCCTCATATATTTGTGGTGGATGGATTGCTTCGATATAGATTTATATTTAGTATGTGGTTGGCAGTGGAATTCAGTACACGGTATTCAGCCTTTTTGCTAGTCATCAATCGGATATACTCTCATTACAGTGTTGATCTCTACACTGACACTCAAATTCAGTAACTGTCACTTCGAACCCTTGACTTAATGATATATCGAGATAACTCACTCACTAAATGTTACACCTCAACTTATCTTTCTGTTGTCTAGTGTTCAAACTCATCTAATCATAAACTAACTCGGCGATCAACAAATAGGTGTTCATATTTTAGACTTAGGTATAGATTTTATCGTGAAAATTAATGATTCTAGGTGGAGCATGATTAGTGCTTGCGACTTAATAACTGAAACATTGACCTTAACAACTGTATTGATTTCATGCACATAGTTTCCTTTATCAACTTAAAGAGAGCAAAAATAAAACGTTGAGCAGTATATCATGAGCTCATTTTATTTCCTTTGATTCTCGTCAACTGCTTAAAACCTGTAACATTTAAAAATTGCGAAATGGGTTTAAATTATTTACAGGAATGAGTTTTTTTAGAAGTTTGAATGATCGATACAGAGTTAGTTTCAATAGATTCTTGACTAGCCTAGTAAACGCTAATCAATTAATAGCTTAACAAAAATAATGCTGCTAAACATGAACTGAGCAAGTCGATATGATTCCTAATCTTTGAAAAAAAATTCCATTTGTTTATTTACATTTGTACTACATACGTCAATAGACATTTGTTTACGTTTAAATGCTGGCAGTGGTGTCAGGGAAGTCCTATTCACTGCCTTCTCGCGGAGGGGATGTTGTTTGCGAAATTGTGAGGACGAAAAACGAATGTCCGGCACTTTAACCGGGTTGGTGAATACTGAGGATCCACCTAAAGGAGTTGGAAAACTCTGATTCCAAACCAATAGTGTACATGGGCTCTAGTATCCTGAGGGAACAAATGGCGCATGAACCTATTGTTGATCACCAGCTACCATGGGACTGCATCTCCTGACGTTGCTCCACTGCCTCATGGATTAGACAGTCAGGTCAAGGGCCCGGGTGTGACCCCATAAGAAAACCACCTACTACGGTTTGGACACCCGGGTACTATCCCAGCCCTCACACAAATCGAACGATAAAGTGTGACGCGCACATATTTTGAATTTCCTTATGCCAATATTTATATTTTTAAAGAAACAAATGAAATAAGTACGAAGTATTTATCTGTTTTTTCTCTTAATAAAGTTCTCATATACCTTCTATGCCAAATAATATGTGTATCATTTTTTTCTATAGATTATTCATTATGATCCTGAAACTCATCATATTGGCAAAACATTTTCCGTCTTCCTCACGCTTGATGGTACACAATTACGCCTACAACGCCCAGAACATAATATTACTCGTAGATCTTTATGGAACGATGAAATCCCATCAACTACAACTATGCGATTCAAACAACAGCATATTTATGATTTAGCTAATGCAACTGTTACACTCCTTCCATGTGGCTTAGTCGGCAAACGTCTATGGAGTAGAAAATATCCTATTTGTATCACCGTCAACACTGAAGGTAGATTCAAGGTAAATGCTAAAATGAGAGTTATGTTTATCAATAATTGATCTTTTGTTGTAAATTGTTTTTTTGGTACATACTACGTCACACGTTGCTTTATGTCAATCAGTCATGTGCAACGTAAAACCTGTCACATACGGAGATACAATTATTTCAGGGCAAATACCAGAGTAGTAGTGTAGTGAACAGAACACGGGTGGGGACAATCGAATGCTGAGCCATCTACATCCGATGTCCGCCCAGCAGCCGCACGTCCCACAGCTCCTCTCCGTCGACGGCACCCGCTACAGCCACTCCACCCGACGCCACCTCTCCGCACCAGACTGCCCCAAGTAGCGCCTCAGACCCAGGCCCGCAACGGCGTCCTCGGGACAGCACCCCCCCTCTCCTGGTTGGCAGCGACACCAAACGTAGTGAACAGAACACGGGTGGGGACAATCGAATGTATTTAACACAAAATTACAGAGCATCTCAATAAAATCTGAGAACCATATATTAAATCGTTAATTAGCAAAATGTCCACCAATTGTCTCAAAATGCTTCAGAATTCATTGTTCTTACATTTTCATACAGATTGCATCTTATTGTCGCTCTTGCTTTCTTGATCTAATCTCATCTTCTGCTGCCAGACATTACATTCCTGACCCGCATAATATAATACTTATATCGATATAAGTAGCACGCACCACAGTAGAAGTAGTAACAGCATCAGTAGCAATATAATAAATTAGGCATAGAAAAAGGGTCTAAGGAGGTTTCAGGACTCAGGGGAAGACAAAGATTGAATGCACCTGCACCATGCCATTTCAAAGTCTCCAATCACTGGTTATAATAATCTTGTCGACCCCAACCAGGTAGTCTACACCTACTCACATGGCTAAGTTCACTTGCCAATGACTTCATGAACTGGCGCCATATCTTGGTTTAACCGACCCTAGTTTTCTCCCAGCATACTTCTAGATCAGATAACATCGCTCTTCAAGCTAGCATGTGGTTTGGCATATGAAACACATGTCCCAACTACCGTAGTTGACGAAAATCTACTGCGTCATCAACCAATTTGACATCTTCATTTAGTACCTTATGCCTAACCTTAGGATTCCTCACTCATTGGTCCGAAAATGCGCAAGTAATGCTTTGAAGTTACTGATATTTGGATACTGGTAACCCACGAACATTCTATGGTATCAAGGGCCATATTTCACATCTTTAAATTAGAACAAACCGAACTGTTTTGTGTTGACTCGTTAAGAAAAAGTCTAAGGAACGACCGTGAGCGGTGGTGGGTAACGAAAGCAAGAGAAATGGAAAAGGCGGCGACTATAGGGAACACAAGACAGCTTTACAGACTAATAAAAGAAATCGGAATTACTAAGTCAAGTGTAAGTGAGATTATTTCGGAAAAGACGATACTCTCATCTACTCCCAGTCCAGACGTTTAGAACGATAGGCGGAACATTTTAGAGAACAGTTCAACTGGCCTTCAGCTACTCTACAACTACCCTTCATTGCCAGACAGTGTGAATGGAACATTGAAGTAGGTCCCTCAACTCTTGCTGAAGTTTAAAAAGCTATAGCTAATATGAAATGAGGAAGAGCAGCTAGTCCAGATGGATTGGCTCCAGAGGTCTTTAAGGATGGTGGTCCAATTTTAGCGGTTAGATTGACTAATATTTTAGCTAAGATCTGGGAGCTAGATGTTATTCCATCTGGCTGGTCACAATCACTTATCGTCCCAATATATAAGAAAGGGTCAAAATCATCATGTGACAACCATAGAGCGATTAGTTTGACAAATATAGTATCTAAAATACTAGCCTCGATAATTATCAAACGCCTAACCAAGACTCGTGAACTGCAAACACGAGAGAACCAAGCTGGCTTCAGACCTGATCGTGGCTGCATCGACCACATATTCACCATTAGTCAGGTTCTAGAACACAGGCATACTTATCGACGTCCGACAATGGTGGTCTTTCTTGACTTAAAAGCAGCATTTGACTCCATAGACCGCGAGATTCTGTGGCAGTGTCGGTCATTGAAAGGCGTACGTCAGAAGTACATAAACCTTGTAATGGCTCTTTATTCGAACACTACTAGTCGAGTCAGGGCTTATGGCGAACTGTCATCTACTTTTGCAACCTCAAGTGGTGTCCGTCAATGCTGTCCACTTTCTCCATTTTTGTTTAACTTCATCATAGACCTATTGATGGATCGTCGACTGAATTCTCAGGTATTGATCTCCTTCCAGGAGGTCTACTTATGGACTTAGAATACGCAGATGACATAGTTTTGTTTACTGAAGACGCTGACAAAATGCAGAGTCTTCTGGTAGCAGTAAGCAACAATGCCAGAATGTTTGGAATGCGCTTCTCTTCCTCTAAATGCAAGTTGTTGCTTCAGGACTGGTCTGCGTCAACACCTGAACTAAGGATAGGGATTGAAGTAGTCGAACGCGTTGACAACTTCACTTATCTTGGAAGTCTGATCAGCCCTAATGGGCTGGTGTCTGACGAAATCTCAGCACGGATTCGAAAAGCTCGTTTGGCTTTCGCCAAATTACGTCACCTATGGCGAAGGCGAGATATCCGTCTAGGTGTATACACTCCCTGTCTTCCCTTAAACTAAGAGATTAAAATCACTTCATATCTTTCTTTCTACTAACTAATTCTTTCTTCCTGCGCTATATCGTTATTGCAATCTTTCTTTTATATATTACCACCATTGAATTAACTACTTCTGTGTGTTCGGTATTCATCTTGCTGTGCTAATGAGGTTTGGCAACCTTGACCGATGCACATATGTGCCTGGTCCTACGTTGTAGCTGACTGACTCGTCGGTAGATAAAATCTGGCCAAGGCTTTACAAAATGTATTTTTTACGGACTTATTGTATACTATGTTGTATATCAGTTTCTCTGACCATATCGCTTTTGTTTGTATGTAACTTTATCGTCAGCACCTATTCGCCTTGTTTGGATCTTAAAGACTTTTTCACTTTAATTCTCAATTACTCGACTAAAGAACGTTTGAAAAACATCTTAGTCATGTTCTATTTTGAAATGTATTCCGTAACAGTTAATAGAAACGTGATGATATTTTAGAGGTTTTGATAACTACATCTCTAGACCCAAAAGTTAGGGACTTATTTATGTAATTTTTCATAGCTTTATTTATCTTATCAATAGATGTATTGTGATTGCGGAAAGAAGCCTTGTGGATTCAGGTTTGAGAAATGAGACAGCTATTTCCCAAACTATAGGAACTTTTTACTACATACTCTAAAACCCAAAAAATGTTGAGTCGGAAAATAACTCATAAATGCATCAGGGTAGTTTGATTTCTTCCAATGTATTGTAATTTTTGTTTTACTAGTTTCTTTGTCTATAGATTATGATTTGTAAGTTATTTTTATTTGGTATGATGTTGGTAGTTTCAGGGAATAACTTCTGATCATTCTATAACTAAGAACTGCCATCCACAAATAATCCTGTAAGCTACATTTGCTCACTTTCCTTCATCATTAAGATGATGTTTTCTGACTTGACATTCAAATATTCCATTACGAAGTACGTATGTTATAATGAAAACAATATGAATTTGTAAACTGTAAATCACAACGTTTCATCCGTGTTTACATTACGATTTGTTTGTTTTAATGAAAAATACATTCTGTTTTTTTCTACAGCGCAAAAATGAAAGACTGGATTCACTACCATCATCGACAAGCTTTCCAAATATCATATTATCTACTAGCTCTAATATTGCAGTGAATGAATCCTCTGACTTGTCCATGGATACATGTATTCCATCAGCTGGAGATGTGGAGTTCCCCGACGATACTAGTATCAATGTATTGCAAACTTCAAGCAAATCAAATATGAAACATTTATATTTGTTTGGAAGAACATGTCGCGAAAAAGAAACATGGTACCGTAGATTGAAAGCTGCCTCATTGGGCACACCTCTTATATGGACACCTCAGATGGTAAGAAAATATTTTTTTAGGTATATTGCAAATTGACAATTTTTTATAAATCTCATTGATCGGGTGACGTAGTAATACCTTGAAAAACAAGTTCAGAGACCACATTTTTGGAATTATATTTTGTGATGTTTTAAGAATTTTTGTCAAACAGTGATCTTATGGATATGACGTAAATGTGACCAAGTAATGAAATTACATTATATCACAAATTGAGATAAGCTGAAACAAATTATTCGTCTAATGTTCAGTTACAAAGTCTGAGTTGCATTATTTTCTACTGAACCTGATCACTGTGTTCTACTTTAAAATACTTGTTATTCTGTGTGACACATGCCTAGCATAAGTATAAGTTGGTAAAATTCTAATGTCATGCAACTGTAATTTCGATCTAATAAGTTGAACTCTCATGTCATTTTGCTTTCTGAATTTCCTAGATAATTTTTGATATGTTAATCAATCAAATTATGTCAAATATTCTAGAACTATCAGTCCAAGCAATTACAAAAACCCCATTAAACCTTGATGCATAAATTCTTTCACATTGTGAACTGATTATTAGATAATGACTGACAATTCGTTTTCCAGCAATAACAGTTTAAACTTAGGCATTGATATTTTTGGATTACCAACTCAGTGGTCTAGAGATTAGGCGCCTGTTTTGTTTAACCCCAATTTTTATCAGTAATCTATTGAGGTATCTTTCAGTTGTGAAATTCATGATCATGGTGGTTTGGCGGATAAATATTCTAAAGATCAAACGTAAATCTACTTTTACGACTATTATGCTTATTACAATTTTTCTGTAAATTATAACATGCCCACTATACTGGGCCATACAATAATTAATCCTGTAACACCAAGTTATTCTTTCGATATTGTTAGAGTGAATGTTTTTTAATAATGATTTTTCATTTTTCAGTATTGAACTTTATTACATTGTTTTTATAAACTTGATGGTTAAATCAACTCGTCCGTTTCTCTCTTATTTGTTCATAGGCTGTACAACATTATCTTTTGGCATCAGATATTAATAATAGTAATAATAACGTTGGTTTACCAGATTATTTAAGTGGTACTGCCACAGCAGCTTCCAATATCATTTCTAATCACAACGACAATACATTGAGTGACGATGAAAGTCAACCTGATGGAAATACATTATCAAATCTCATAACATGTTCTGATTCAGCTGCCAGTATCGCTAATACTGATGTTGTTACCACTATTACTACTACTATTAGTAGTAATAATAGCAATAGTACTCCCACTGGTTTAAGCAGTACAACCAATACTAATAGCACTTATTCATCCAGCATAAATCTTTCAAGTTATGGCGCTTCAATACCTGGGAATCGTGAACCAGTCTATGTTTCATATGTTCGATATATGGCTAAATTTATGCCCGCCAATTGGCTTGTACGAAGTGCACAAGCATTAAAATTAAATGTTAATCAAATTAATTGTGATACAAATATGATATGGCTTAATGCATTAATTGGTCGTTTGCTATGGGATTTTCTTCGTGAACCTTATTGGTTAGAAAAGATAAAAAATAAGATTCAAGCAAAGTTGAAAAAAATACATGTAAGTAGTGTGGATTTGTAATTTGACATTTTCTTATTATTTCAGTCGCCTATTTTTTTAACCTCCAAAATAATTGATGTAGTTGTGAATTATCACAAATTAACATTGATAGATTACTACTAGTGCTCTGTGAAGATGGAATCACCGAAGTTCTTCTATAAGATTTAATTTAGTAGTAAGAATGAAAATTAATTGGTAACGTTTACCGATAGTTGTCCTCCATTAAATTGTTATTAGAAGTCCTAATTTGTATCTTGTTTTTTGTAACAGAAAGTATAATCTCTAATTGGAAAGCCTTAGTATCTTAGATTCGTCTCTAAGAGCGATAGACGTCAGTGTTGACTGTAAGAAATCATTAAGTAATACGATATATAGAAAGAAACAGTGTATTCTAACCTTTTCTAATTTGTATATGCAAATATTGTAATGCTAGTTTTACTTGTTTTTAAGCGTAGGACAACTTGGTTAGTGATATATTGGAATAGTATATCTCTTTCTCTTCCCTCAGTTAGAATATTTAATGAGGCTTGAACCTTTTTATTATTATCGTGTTAAAAGCCGATCAATGTTAGACTACTATTGAAAACCTGAAAGTATTTTACGACCGTTTCATCCTAGTGTGGAACAAGCATATTTTGACGTCCTATTCTAGGACGAAACGGCCATCCAGTGCTTCCAGGTTTTCAATGGTGGTTTAACATTCATCGGTTCATAATTTTAATGAAACTTGACGACCCCCACAACCCTATACTAACAAAGATATATTCCACTGAATTATTATACAGAATAATGTTAATGCTTAAGAAATTTATATATAGGAATTTTACATGTTAACAAATAGTTTTTAAAATCATTTTATTTTTTGTTTTATCTCTGTCCAAAAATATCATAGCTTCCAAATTTCATCAATGAACTCACTGTCGTTGATATTGATTTGGGCTCAGAAATACCTGTATTAAGAAGAATCGGATGTCCTTATCTGGATGCACATGGTCTATGGATTGAAGTGGATGTTGGTTATGCTGGAGGGTTCTCATTTGCTTTGGAAACAAGTGTAAGTAAATTAAACGGAAGAAAGCAACTTTGGGAGCAATAATTTTCAAAATTACATTTTTCATTGAATGTAAAAAGTTTAAAGTCTCATACTCCACACCAATTTACATGTGCATCAGTCCAACATACGAGTTATCTCATTTGACACAAACTCCCCTTATTCTGTTTCATGTATAATTCTTCTCCTAAGGAATTTTTACGAACATCTTGACGTGTGCTTCTAAAAAATTGACATAATAAAAGCCGATGTTAAAGTGTTTGATGTGGTTGGCCAATAAAAGTATCTATTTAGAGTAATTATAAAAATTATGCTAAACTAGTGGTGTACGATAGCTCCAGAAACTAATGTATAAATTCACTCTGGTCACCAACTGCACGTGACGTTTCACTTTTTTATGTATTCTATTTTTAATTCACTGTGTCGGATTCCATAACAGCACTTGGTTGAGCTTATGTGAGCGGATATTATCACACAGATGCATGGCCCTGTGTGTTTGCTCCCTTATGTTTTCTGAATGCTAGGCCTAAATACTGACCAAAAGACTAGTTTGTTTGGATTTAATTTAGCTACCTCTTATACCATTTGACGTAATAGTCGTTTTTGTTATTAATTTTTATCGAAAATTTAATTTCTGGTACTATCCTTTACTACATGCTGTTCCAAACTGTTTGGAACTGACTTATAGAAAAGTAACATGAACTGCAATTATTATTATTATTATTATTATTATTATTATTATTATTATTATATTTTGCTTCATTAACGTGTATTTCGAGTAATCTGTATTGGAAAGTCGATAACTTCCGGACTCGTACTCTGTTTTGATTATTTTCTGTTCGGATTTTGGGGATTCTTAGTTTTTAGAAAGTCATTAGTTTCTTAATTCGATATTTAAAGATTACCTAACCAAGCATGTGTAGATTGACTTGTTAGTCAACATTTCACTTTTTGATGTTAATTTCATTATGATTCAATGATCAGTTTGCATAAGATATTATTTAGTAATTTATCTTAACAAAGTAATTATTCCTTCGGCAGTATTTATCACGGATCAATCTCAGTATTATTATCATGAGCCCACTAGTTACTTACTTCAAGAGCAGTCCTTGGAGTTCTAATAGGAAATTGTAACCGGTGGAGTCCAATGATTAAATGATCGTTGCTTCATGTAGCGAACTGTACTAAAAGAGAAATATGTTTTATTGAACGTCTACAAAATTGTTTAATTGTTGGCCGCTTGTTACGAGATCTTAAATTGAATGAACGCTGCTGATTAGTTCCACAACAGGTTCAGTCCCAGTATTGTATATTTGGATTTTTCGAGGTTTATCGTGCTAGGTCTTTGCAATAAACTACCGTGTAACTCCTTTGATCAGTACATATAAATCACGCAGTTTACTTCTGACTGACCTTGGAGAATTGTAAGCCGTTGGATACACGTAACTCATGATCATTTTCAAATACACCTTTCATAAATCACTCGCCTCTTCAGGATAATATATTCCTTAGCTTTAGCTAAGTTTGAGGATTTTAAAATTATTATTTCTACTTTTGAGTCCCATAATTTACGATTACTGTGCACTAGATTTCATGTTGAGAAAATCATTTACTAAGTTGAGGCTTTGAGACACACTTTGATTGTATGTAAATAATTTTGGTCCTACACAGCTCTCCAATTTAAAGTTGGTGGAAAGTTGTTCGAACAAGGAATTCAGTGGTTACAGGTCGAATGCTTTAAACACAGCCGTGATAACTAAAACAAATTTGTTTAAACTTAGGGTACATAATACATATATAAATCAGAATGTGTTTTATGGAGATTTTTAGACATTTTCACAGATTGAAATCATGAGTCAGTTGAAGCTAGACCACCATTGAAAACCTGGAAGCACTGTACGGCCGTTTCGTCCTAGTATGGGATTCCTCAGCAGTGCGCATCCACGACCCCGCACCACTCGGGGTTCGAACCCAGGACCTACTGGCTTCGCGCGCGAGCACTTAACCATTAGATCACTGAGCCGGCATCCAACGATGTTAATGTCTAACTTCAACCAATCCACGAAGTTGCGCTACCGTACACCATTGTCTTCAGTGAGTTCCTATCTCACAACAGACCTGGCTGAACTCCACTGGTAACGACTTCTCACTAGAACTCCAGAAGTGTCTCCTGAAGTCAGTCACTAATGAGCAGGCGATTATTATTATTATCAGAATGTGTTTTGTGGAGATTTTTAGAAATTTTCACAGATTGAAATCATGAGTCAGTTGAAGCTAGACCACCATTGAAAACCTGGAAGCACTGTACGGCCGTTTTGTCCTGGTATGGGATTCCTCAGCAGTGCGCATCCACGACCCCGCACCAACATTAACACCGTTGGATGCCGGCCCAGTGATCTAATGTTTAAGTGCTCGCGCGCGAAGCCAGTAGGTCCTGGGTTCGAACCCCGAGTGGTGCGGGGTCGTGGATGCGCGTTGTTGAGGAATCCCATACTAGGACGAAACGGCCGTACAGTGCTTCTAGGTTTTCCATGGTGGTCTAGCTTCAACTGACACATATATAAATGTCTGTATTTACTCAATGAGAGATCTGTGTCTTGATTATATTAGGACGTACTTTTATTTCATTAGTTCGTGTGAGTTTTATTCATTTTACGTCGATTTATGAGGTTGAACAGTATTTCAACCCATTTTATACATTGATTGGTTTTTTTAATTACCAAGTGGCATCGATCTCTTCATAAAAACCAACGTAACAGTAAATCAATAATCCACTAGTAAAAAATGTTAACATGGGGTCTACATTCACAATGTATTGATAATAGCCTATTATATATATACCATGTTGTATCTTAAGTTAATAACGATTTCCTGTTAATTTTCACATCAAATAAATTGTTTCATTCTCTTTATCTCTGAAGATAAATGACATCTATATAAATGAGAGTAGGAGAAACAAAATATCTGGATTTGTATGCATGAGAATTTAATGTGTTAGTAGAATATTTTATTTTTCACTATTCTCTCAGCTCTTCCCAAGTCGTTATTTTGTGTCTTCACCTATAATTGTTATAAGCTTATCGATTTGTGTGCATTGTGCATGCGCATGGCTGTGAGTGTTTTCAACAACCAATTGATAAAATTTGTAAAACCTATTTTGTCATGTAAACTGTGAGTTTTTAACGTCCTAAATACAGTTTTTGTTCCTACCCTACTATTTATTGTTATTATTATTATTTTTTTAATGTGCTTGATACTTTGATCAGCATATAATGTTAGGATAATATGAAGAAAAAATTCCGTACCTGAACTTATATTGTATCCCTTTGTCATAACTTAATAACTATTTGTTTACTTATTCCCTAACTATGCATTACGTTCAATATTTATGATGTAGATTGTTTTTGTTAATCAATTGAAAGTAGCACCCAGTTTTAGCGAGTTCCACATCCATTGATTGATATTAATCACCACTGAAATGGTCTTTCACTTAATTGGTCATTGTGTGATATACTAGAATTTCTTTGGTTGTAGTTGGTGTCCTTCGATTCTAGTTATTAACTCTCTATAAGCTGATCAGCCCTATCTCACAGAGATGAACACATACTTCTTTAAGATCTCCATTCTACTTTTCAAATCATAAAATAAACCCATCACTTGACTAAAGGCTTATAATAGAAGTTCAGCCACCAAGTATTTGTATGATAACAAGCTAAACGTGATTAAATTCATAAATTTAAATTGCTTTGCATCTGTTTCGATGTATACAACTGAATAATATCAATGGTAATCACAGCTTTAGTATATTTGAAAGGTGAGGACATTAATATGTACTGTGTAAACAAGCTACATTGACATTTGTTTCTAAATTAACTAGGGTTACTAACCGATTGACTAGAGCGCTTAATATAAATAAAGCAGGGATATGAACCTAACTTTTCACAATGAAGTGTTTAATTCGCTCATCCATAGTTTTAAATGAATCGTATTACTTTTTAATGTGTAATTAAGTATCATCTATTTATCAAAGCTGACTCAATTCGAACTAATATTTATTTATTTTTAATATTTTTCACTGTTGGATGCTTTGATAATTCACTACATATTTCTTTGTTTGTTTAATATTTTTTTATTTAGGTTAATTTAATGCGGTGGAATCAAAAACTTCGTGAAGAAAAAGATATTACCTATTCATCAGGTTCGATCGTTTATTTATTTATTTCTAAACGAGATTTGTTTTATTTTTCTATAAAAGTTATGTGTTTCAAAAGTGAAGTTTCGTAGCATAGCATTAAGCCTTGTAGTATATTACTATGATCGCTTGTCTTAAGCGTGGTTGGTACTACTGTCCATAAAAATGTTACACTTTGTAATTTACATTGAGGACGACGTGATTACTGTAACCAGTCGTTTGATATTTCAGGTGAAATGACTCATAATCAGTCTGAATGGCTCAGGTGCGTTCACTCTTTTTCATCTCTTAAGTCCTGAGTTTCGAAATTTTCTTATATTTTTCAATTACATGAACTAATTCTTTCCCAAATCATACCATTTGTAGCTATCTTTTTCCTGCTACTCATATTGTCATTAATTCTACTTCTCTGGGATATGTCCTGATTATTTCAAATTGTAGTGTTAATTTAATGTGACAACATGAACCAGTGTACATGTTTAACGGGTTCTACGTTTCATATGGCTAATTGACTTATTTTTATTGTATAGAATTTGATTTATTGATAAAGACTACGGATATAATAACGCTGAGCGTTTTTGTGAAATACTCTGAAATTAATTTTTTTTATCAGTCTCCCATAATTCCAATGATAAAGTTGCAAATATAAGGTACTTTTGTCTTTCAAATGAATTATTCTTTTGTTTGATTTTGTCATCGATGCCTTCCAAAAGCGTTCGGATTAATAATAACAATCTCTCCCTAAACATATCAAAAAATGTAGCTGCATATATCAGTAACGGTATACTTGCTATTGATTTTATGTACTTTGCAATGAAAGTTCCTCTTATTTAAGAAGTGAGTTGGTTAGATTTTATGGGTGCGCAACTTTCACCACTGGCAGCCACAGTTGTTCTTTTTAGATCAATTAGTATTCTCCACTTAATTGTTCATTATTAATAAAACTGCGCTTATATGCTAAAATTTAAACTTTTGCTTTTCATAGAGAACAAAATAAATTTGACCAATGACACAGTAATAATACAGTTGAATGCTATTTATCTTCTAACCGACGTAAAGAATGATCAATTGTGAATAACACTTCGGTATTCATTTCAATTAGTAGTCGATATATAGGTAAATATTTTTGAAACTACTCGATCTTTCGGGGGGGGGTGAGAAGTCTATTAACAAATAATGAAAATGTTTAGTGAGAGTCAAAGTGAAGCGTTAATAACAATCAACAACTGAAATTATTACTATCCAAGATTATCAAAATACAAGATCTTATACTATATGGTTGTAGGTAGTCATGTATCTTTGTGATTTTTTATTGAAATCTTTTACATTAGTATTTTTTTATGTAAAAAGAAAAGATGAAAATGCAGTTAAATCAAACCCTTTTCTCTTTTCGTCCACCCTCTACCAGATAATTTTGCTCAAAATTCACTATCCAATGAATCTCTGCCAAAAGTTAGTTCTCGTTCGATTACAAAAATGGCCGCTTACTTATCTGATGAAGAAGACAGTGCTGATTCAACAACTGACTCTGAATTAGATGAAACAACTAATATTAGTCAAAATTCCAGTCCTATAAATAGTTTAAGACCTGGACGTAACTTACCATCCACAGGACTAATCATAGGTGGAATGAAATCCGGTGATAATGAACGTATAAACCCTGAAGACAACAGGTAAAAGATTGCTATAATTTATAAAATAAATATAAGAAAAAGTCTCCGCTAGTTAAAACAACAAAGTCTCTTCATGTTTCTTAGCCGCTTGAAGGTGTTTCTTATTATCGGATGTTATGAGGATTTTAGAATTTTATAGTCACCATTACTGACTGATATTTTTTTGTCAACCACTGAGAAATATGAAGCACTAGCCAACGGTTTCGTCCTAGTATGAGTACCTCATTAGTGTTCATCCACGACCACACGGAAGATCGAACGTAAGACCTTCAGATCTCATCGTAAAGACTATCAGTTGTGTTAGTTGGTTGATAGAATGGATTTTAAATTATATTATTTTTATGCTGCGGTAAGAAAATACTAAAGATATAAAAGTCTCTGTCCATCTGCTGGAATAACAATTTTTATAGCCTTTTGAATCTCAGGACTAGTTGACTTCTCCCAGTGAGTGTTTAGTGAAATTTATTCCATAATTAGATCTTTAAAGCAACATCGCTACTAAAGAACAAGTCTTTTTTTATGTTCATTGCTTGCTAGGCAAGTTTCTACTGGGGGTTGTCATTGAATGCTCTGATAACGTCATAAGTATAATGTCAGTAATTTCACTACTTACAGGCTTTGATTATAAGTATCGGTAAACGTGACCTTTAATTTAAAATATGATTTACTATAATTCGACTTTAAGTACGTGTCAAAAAGTTTCAACTTTTACTATTATTGCAGCAGATCTATTTGTTTTAGTAAATTGATCTATTAAAGCAATTGATAAACCCGTTGTACATTCAATATTGAATATTATCGTACGTAAAGCCAATTCAATGTTATGAACATATCTTAATTTCTAAAGTTTACTAGTTTATATTACTTTTTTAAATTATTAAATCTATCATGATAGAGTTTACCACTTTCAACCAGTAACATGCTACAACTTATTAAAACAAATCGCTTTCTTTATGTAACCAATAATAGACTTGTTTTACTAGTCAGAAGTCAAATCTTTAAGTGAAATGATCATCTTATTTATGTATATATAAACAGATTTTGTAGTTAATTTAACAAAACAGAAGATAAACAGTACAGTAGAATTATTACCAGTGCTTGCTTCTCAATTATTATGATGAAATGATAAATGGAATTGCAATTTAGAGGTTACAATCAATTTACCATGATTTAATTGAAAACAATTGTTCGCTTATATGTGTTGTTCTAATTTTCACAATGGGAATCTTTAATATTCTAAAATAATTATCTGTAGGTTATTGTTTCTGATATCACCATTGAAACCAACCTATGGAGTTAACTACTAAAACTGACTTATTTACGTATGTTAATTCTTACTGAAGCTTCTAACCACACGATTAAGAGATGCGTAAAATATGGCAATCAAAAACGCAAAATAATTTCGAATATGGTACTGTGATTATGAAAATATATGACGGGCATGCATTACAAACCAGAATACGTGAGTTGTCTACAGAATCTACCGTATTAGTATAAATCAAATAAGGATGCTTCCTAAAATGGATATATAAAGTTTACTTACAACAACATAGGATAAACTATTTGATAACTGTTGTCACGGGTGTGACTGCAGGTTATTGATACGCAGCGTTTATATCGATCGATCGATTACAGTGACACGTAAATACGTACGAACGACCTAGTGTCCTGATTGGCCCTGCTTCCCTGTCTATCCCATCCAGTTGAGTCCAGAACGAAAGTCACAGCCTCTGAGATATGAATCATTATATTTCAAACACACTCTGTTTATATACTAACCAAGCAGACCACATCATACCATAAAAATAGGAAACAACATTTACACAATATTAAACAACTGAAGCAAATATCGACCAATAGGAAATGTACATTTAACGTCCAAGGACACCATTCGACTTGACACGATAATTATTGGCATATTCCTCTGCATACCTAACAATAACGAATAGCTGTGTCGAAACTACAAAGGTAGACAACAATGTAAAATGGGAATGAAGAGCGCTAGAATGGAAACTGTTACAATAAAATAAATGTTTAATGAGTAGTACACTAGAATTGGAAACAAGTGTTATGAATTTAAAGAATATGCAGTAACAGTGATAGATAAATTAAAGTTCACCGGTGAATACTTGAAATATTGCACACTATGCACTCAAAAAATATTATAATTGAAACTGATTACTGAAGTTGTAGTATAAAATAATACACAAGAGGAAAGCGAAGATAGAAAGCGGTAATCGATTCAGCAGCCTATTGCACTTAGAAATTCACATAATTGAATATAAAGCGTAACTTCATCATATTACCTGGTCATCATTCGAAATTGCATTAATAAAACACAGTGTAGAGTAGCTAGCGTCAAATAAAATTCTCTGTTTGGTGCCTGAAGTTAATCGGCATTAAACTTTTAGATTATAATATCGTGATTGTTGACATTTAGATTTTTCAGTTTACTACAATTCTCTCCATTATTAGTTCACTGATCAAGTCTTACATTGTTTTATATGCAAAGATTTTTATTTATATTGTTATATAAAAATGTCATTTAAATCATTACAAATGTGTTCTGTGAATAAACAGAATATTGATCATTTAAAATGTACACATATTTAATCTTTTACAAATAGGTGTTGCATTGACTGAACGATCTATTGACTTTGCTGTCATGTAGTGATTTTACATTAGATTCCTCGTTTAGTGGAGACTAAGTTTCAGATATTTTGATCACAAATAAAAAGAACATATTGAATTTCTGTTATACAGTTAGTGTTTTAGGAATTGAGTAATAAATACACCATTAAGTTGTTAAATGCATGCTTGTATTAATAATGAATACTCATTGTTTCAGTTGGAACTATAAAAAGTGTGTAAAATTTTAATTTATTTACTTTTTCTCTAGTTAATGTTTTTATTTGTTAGACCATTTCATCAATTGAGAGATAATAGTTTAACCTAATCCGTTCTTGTTTAATTGATTTCATACATATATGTATGATTATTGTGCAGGTCATTTAATCGTCTTTCTCCAATTTCACCAAACCGGTATGTATCAATCTCTAAATGAGCAACACTACATTAGTGATAATCTTATTATTTGTGAACTAACTCTCTTTCTCTACTCCAACGCAGACACACAACCACATCTTATTTGTTCACCAGTTTCGTTTGTATTTCTGCTCAACATTTAATTCTATCTTAAAGCATTCACACAAATTATGCATAACTTTTTAATTGCATCTTCGTTAACATATTGTGTTTTTGTTTACTTTAGTTGGGTGTCATATCACTCATTGAGCGTGTGTGTTTCTAATTAAACAGAAACCGAAACGATTAGTAGTACCACTTGAAGAATCAATATTGTTTTCATAAAAACGAGTTACATATTCTTCTTCATGTAGGATGCTCTTTCTCTTTAGATTTCTTCAACATATTTTTTAACTCTTAGTTTATTTGTCTTACTCATTGTTATTTATTTTAGAAGAGTGTAAGTTTTGTCAATATTCGATAAGTTATCACAAAACATTTACTTTCATTGGTGATAAATCGATAATCAATACATATAGTTGTTTTTTCTTATGATGCCCTTCCTCGTCTCGCAATATTCCGGTTAACAGCATATTATTTTTCATGTGAGATCCACGCTCACCTATCGAACTTATGAAACATTATCCTTGATCTTTTAAAGCTTCCCTTTAAACTAATGGTTCGAGGCTTCCAATGTTCGAAACATATCTCAGTTTGGATAACAGGCCTAACTAGTTGAACCTACACACATTACGTAAGCGTGAGCATTCACTTGATTTTGGCTTACCGATGTAGTGAGTAAGCAACTATAAACTTGTTAGCGACCTCCTGTGGCGTTGCGGTGATAAGTTTTTCATCATGTTTAGAAACAGAACAGGCACATCTAAGTTATATACCAGTGGATAGTCGTTTTTGCTCTGTTCGACCAAATTATACAGTAAGGTCTCTGTACATGAACTTGCCGAATCTTCCTTACTCTAATACGTTTGTGTCATGAACTGTAAACTGAAATGAATGTGTCAGGTGTTGTTCACCAAGTCTGTCCGTTCTGCTAATCATTTCTGATGTGTTAGTGGTTATGGGAAAACTTGTGCAGTTTCAGTTTATTTTACTCTCAACTTCTACAGACTAAGGCTACTTAAGTTGTAGTAGAAATGTCTGCCTTTCAAAAGGTGAATGTTGTACTTAACAGTTCGTTGCGTATTCCTTTACTGTTGTGAGACTTAGCATTTTAATGTAGAAGACGTGTTACAGTGGATCAGATAATATATTTTCCCTAAATATGTCAGCAATGCTGAGACTGCTGGAACGAGTGTGTTGAACAATTCTATAATTTCCCTACAGGGTGAATTCTTAAATCTAGATTTTATAACGAAAAGCATTGAACATCTAACGAAATGAATATATTAAGGAATTAAGAATTATTTATGTACAGAATATTTAGCTTAGTAAATATGACTTAATTGATCAAGAATAAAAATGTAGTCTATAGAATAGGCAATCGTTCTTCACATTTGGCCATCATAGCATCATCAATGTATTTATAAGTAAATGTGAACATCAGTTGAAAGAAACAATCTAAACGACTTATAAAACAAGAATTTCTTCTGTGAAACTATTCATTCTTTTTTAAAATAACTTGGAAATTCCTATATCAACAGAAAGTAATCAGTTGGTTAGTTTTTGAAATAGTTAGTAGTAAAGAAGAATTTCATTTATTAAACGATTCACCTGTGTGTACAATATTCAGTGATTGAATATCGAACATTATTTAGTTGTGTGATAAGCACTTGTTTTATTAGCTATGAGATATGTGAATTGTTTTGCTACTGAATTCTACTTTCTACAAGTAACTTAGTTTACCATCTTGACATTGTTTTACAATTGTTCGCATGGTGTAGTTTTCAAACTAAATCAATTACTTTCTCAATAATTCAACGGTTTTTGTTATTTAAAGACTGCTATTGGAAAGTTCCCGATCTTTGTGTTCGATTTGAAGACTACAAGGAACTAAGACTGCTTTTGCCATTCAAAATTAATTTACTGTCATGTTTATTCGTAAAAGGTTACTCTGGTAAAATAAAAGCAGTCGTAAATATCTCATTCATTTAATATCCTATCAAAGTTGGAGTTTCTGAATTTTTGTATGGTAATGATGAAGTCGTTAACTGCAAGTCCTGCTACAACTCAAAATTTTGTTCATCTACAACGTTCATCTATATATGTTAATTAGTTTAAAACATTGCAGCCAGTTGTAACATAATATTATTGTTTACAAGGGAACTTTCGAACTATTCTTTTTGTTAATGAGTAAATACAATATTATGTTTTCTAAGCTGGATGGTTTTATCATGGAGGTTTTGCGGTTTCTCCGGACAAAATCATTCGCACATACTTAGCTTTTGAGAGCACAGCACCTCTAAAATTCTCTTCCTGAGCTACAGATCATCATCTCAGAGGTGACCGTAATTATCATTTGGTATTTCTTATGTAACATCATTGGTACACTTTTGATACCTCTGACAAAAATATTCCTTTAATGAAACGTTTCAGATAAGTTAGATTTGGTATACGAGATCCTATATTTCATGTGTGATTTAAATTTGATGATTATATACAATGTAACTAATGGAAAATATTTTGTTTAATTTCCGGATTACTATTGCATGATAAAGAACTGTACTTCCTGTTTTTACATTTCCTCTGTGTGTATACGCTTCTATTCTATGTAATCTGTTTATGTATTCAGCTTCGAACCACACTTTGTGTAAGACTTACTCGGAAAAGGAGTCTTTTGACTAAAAAACTACGGAGTCATCATTTCACATCGTTATTTGTCACCAGTAGTTTGGCGTAGATGATCGTTCAGCTATTCATGGTTGAGAGAGCACAACAAATTTTACTCTTCATTTCTCTGACCAACTAGTATTTTAAATACCCATTTTATTCTTTTCTATAATTGTGCTAAAATTAAAACAAGCATTTGAAATTTGCGTATTTGACGTTTACTAACAATTAACTTACATTTTATACCGAAATCCTGGTGATACAATAAGTTGAACATAATTCATTCATTTTACAGATTTCCTGATTTTAATCTTCCAATAATATTCCAATCAGTAGTAGTATGACTTTGATTGAAGCGATTTATTTTCGTTGTTTTAAATAAATTATTTTTATATTTCAGTCCAGTAAATTTACAGCCTGTCTTACCGTCTCGTCGAAGGATTATACGTATTGTCGATCGCATCACCAAATCCTCATATTTTCAAAGAGCCGTTGATACAAAACTAGTCCAGCGTGGTATGGAACGTTTGTCAAACACACCAATTGTATTACAAGTTGAGGTATGTCCTTTTTCTCTGAACAAGATAGAGATAACGTAAATTATTAGAAGATTGACTTTAACATTCTCAGTTTTTTTTAATGTCACTATCAATTTATTAATTATTGACTGACAAATATAGGATTGCAAAAAAATTGTGCAATCTATACCTAATCAAGTGACACGTCAAAACAGAGAACCCTTAAGAATTCAATAATAACTGCCAAAAAATATCATGAAAACTTATCTAGGTTTCATCACTGTATATCACCAGTCGTTGATTTCTACGATGTGTAATAATTAAAGCTAAAATGTCTACTATTCAGTTTTCGTATTTTTGGATAGATCAAGGATATTTTAGATATACGCTTTCGTATTTTTTTAATCTTTACCATGAACTCTGTTTAATTTTACGATCACTTAGTTTTTTTCTGACACTTACATTTTTACAAACAATTGTGTTATAATATCGGTAGTTTTTATTGTTATTGTTATTCTTTACAATGCAATGGGCTGTACCGTACATTTCATATTTAATTGTAGTACCTTTATTTTTTGCTGTTGTATTTACTCAGAGTTAATACGTAATATCTCATCTGACTTAAGTATTCGTCCTAATAATTGGTTTAACTTCATGTATATAGACTACCCTAACATCTAGCCAGGAAACTAGGGACTATATATATGTATATATACCAACTGACTTGAAGTTTAAAGTAACTTCATATTGATCACTTCAAACTTTTAATAGTCAGCTTAAATGACTCATATGTCATATATTTTAATGAGTCGGTTATTTGTAATTAGCGAACACAACAGAACAAACTACGTTATTAATTATTATCCGAGAAATCTTTATAATTAATTCTTTCATAATTTTACTCTCCTGTTTATACGGAAATTGTTATATCCTAGTGAAGGTTAAATTACGGATATCTTCGGAGACCTATTAATGGACTGATATTATCTATATATTCTTATTGTATAACTATTCAGTAGCTAGATTATATATATCTATATTCCCTTTATTATAAGCTTCGTTTTGACCTATAGATTATGATTGTACGATTTACTGTTCTTACGTTATACTCAGTTTATTAATTACTGTCTCCCATGTTCACAGCCACCTCTGGTTATATTTTGTACGAGTGTTATTTTCCATTTTATGGTACATTACGGTCTGTTTGGTTGATATATAAACCCAGTATGTTTGAAATAAATGATTCGCATAGTGGAGGCTGTTGGTAGCATTCTGGACTCAAGTGGACGGGCTAGGCAAGGAAATGACCAATAGGACGCTGGGCTGATCAAACCGAACGAAAGCCATTGGTTTAGTACAAGGGCAAAAAAGTCGTATTTTGATTGGCGAAAAAATTACGTGATAACTGGCGTTCCATAAAGTCACAGCAGAAACGTTTGTTGTTTATAAAGTACTGAACGTGAAATCCATCCATTTTATGTAACGAACTTCTGTTATTATATGTGGAAATTATATTTGAAACAATCTCAGCGATTGAAATTTAAATAAACCCAACGTTTCGTCCAGCTAACTTGTCTGGACTTCTTCAGGGTAATAATCAAAGAAATATATAGATTTTTAACAATCAAAACCATAGTTTTATTATTTAAATTTAAATCGCTGAGATTATTTCAAATATAATTTTCACATATAATGACTTCTCTATACTCGGCGCCCAATTTCTGTCAAACCATTCGTTCTAATCTTGACGAATATTCGTGTGAACTTATATGTTGTTTTCAGTTTATTTTATTATAAGATATTTATCAATGTTCTCTCTAGTTGAGTGTATCATACGCTGTATTTATCATCTGGATATCACTTGGAGCATTTTGAATCCTTTATAAGCTTTCAGTTGTTATTTTACTTACAGAGGTAGTGTAGGAATTGACCTGATTGTTTGTCGATCTACGTAACTACATTTCAAGGGCAATAGTTATTTAAGAATTTCAACATCTTGTCGAAGTCCATCTGTCTATTAAACATGAACACGTGATCGAAAACTTTGACATCAATTTAAATTCGACAAGAAACAAAAGTACGAACTGGGCATTTTTCTTATTTGACTTTGTCTTCAAACTTGTATAAAATTCAAGTGAATATATATATATATATATATATTATCGGACTAAAAATTCGAAAATATCTGCTCAAAATTTAAAATAATAAAAAGAACGGAAAACTAATAACACTAGAATGTGCAACTGTAACAGTAGTGATTTCAGTCATCTATAGCCATTTGACTTGATGCGTTACTCGATTGTGACAGCAAACAGACTACAACTATATCGAGGACTATAACTGGGAAAATTTGTGACGTGGCCTAAAACATATAATCACTTTTCAATCTCATCTTAAAGAATGTAATCTGCTATGCTTATTTACATCATATCTTATCGTGTACTTTACTACGCCAATCCTCTTCCCAATTTCTTGTTGTACAAATATTGTGTTTATTTATATTGATCACAATATGCCACAGGTATTTTCATATGTTCATTTGATTTTAAATATAATCAGATAAAAACTAAATTCTCCGATATGGATCTGCTTTATCGTTATTATGTTTTTTTGGTTTATCAATACCTAGATACAAATGTTAAGTGGTACGCTTTTAGTCAATATCCCTCCACCGCCCAGTGATCGTCTGTGGTATGGTTTTCGTCCTGTACCTAATATACGACTTAAAGCACGTCCTCGTGTTGGAGAAAAAGTTGTTACAATGTCACGTATATTGGAATGGATTGAAAAGAAAATGATTCTTGAATTCCAGGTGATAAACTTTATTTGGTTGTATTTTTCGTTCAGAGGTCATTGTTTATCTCCTAGTATCAGATTGTGTTCATTACTTGTTATTTACGACCGAATATTCCATTCATTTATCATGTCCTGATCGGTAATTATGGGTAAACACCAAAAGAATTATGTTGAATGTAAAGTTTCTGTCTAGCGGTGGAGTGTTAAAGAGCGCAGTATAGTAAATTGTTCGCATCTACTGTTTCATGTTTGTTTTGAATGTAGGTTTTTTGAACAATATTTCGTGATATCGGCTTTTGAATATTCGTGGTAGAACTCCTTTATCCATCTCTTAGCAGCTTTTTTCAATGTGTTGTCAAAACACTCAACTCACTCGTTTGAATGTTCCCCCTCCAAGTGTATGATTTTAGGCGTTCGTGAATCAGTAGTTGGCTAATTTTACTGTACAATAAAGTGTTGGGATATAAGCGTACCTGAAACTTCGAGTAGACATTGTTTAGAACAAATTAGTACGTCCCACTAATTGATTTTGTGAAACATAAGTCAACGACGTAGGAGCCGGTACAAATAATTCATCAGTACAGATCTTAAGGATTCAGTTTTAGTCTCCGTCAGTTTCTATCAACAATTAACTCATGATTTTATTTATTTAAACATAAATATTGGTACAAAGAGGCACCATAAGATATATGCACTACACAAAGAAGTTATTGAATTCGAGTGTGGACTCCGATGCTGCTCAGGCAGGCAGCTTTCTTATGAAGCCACTCCGAGCGTTTAATTCAGAGGTTCAATTCATATAACAACGGAACAACGATAAGAGATGCAGTCCTTTGCTAACCGGTCACCAACATTAGGTTCATACGCGTTTTGCTCCCTCGGGATTCCTGGAGCCCACGTGCTGCATCATTGGTTCGGAATTCAGGGTTTTCTAACTCCCCTAGGTGGATGTTCGTATCCACCAACCCGATTTGACATTCGCTTTTCTTGCTCTTAATTTCGAAAATAACACCCCTGCTTTGAGAAAGCAGTGGCCATATGAGAGAATCCTGTGAGGTCGAGCAGAGGAGGGGCTACAGGAAGTAACGAGATTCTCTATATAGATAAAATGTCCCTTTTTATATTTGTTACATAAGGCGTCTATCAAGCATTCAATTCAGTTAAATTAGTTATGCTGTTAAATATATCCTAAACTTGGTAGAAATATTGGCAAAAGATAAATATTTGTAATTACATAAATGTAAAAAAATTACTGGGAAACTCAAAAAAGAACTTTCACTTATTCAAGTATGATTGTTGACTATATATTCACAACCCATGTCTTTTTTTGTTGCCTAATAGCATTTAGTTGTTTTACCGAATATGGATGATTTGAAAGTTGGGCTACTTTTATCCGATGCTACATCAGCAACATAAATAATCTGACACCAATTATATTCAATGATATCAAAACGGCTGAAGGATTAGCTTTTAATGATCCCTAATCACTATTACAAAAGGCTTCGATGAAAACTGATGTAATCTTATTATTATCATCATCATTCCTTCTCTTTTGCTTTTTCTGTTGCATACGTTGTCAGTATACTGTACTTTATACAAATGTATTCATGCTATCTTATATATTTTAGCTTATTAAATTCAAATGAATCTAAACGTGATTTCTTCTTGTCATATTTTCTATCCTGTCCTTTTTTCGTAAATGTTCACATTTATTTGTCGGAGTGAATATGAAATGAAGAATACATAACTAATAATTTCTATTGGGAACAATTTAGTGTTGCCTCTTTTTGATAATATCTTGGGCAATTCTAACTGTAATCAGCAGTTGATTTCTGTTTTATACAATTCTTGCGTTTTATCGAAAACTAGGATGAATGGAGACTGGATATTATACACACACATATATGTGTGTTCCAATTGTTGAATATTTATTCTACACAGAATGTATTGACAGTTTTGTTAAGTGGATTTATAACCTACAATATATTGAAAATCGGAACCTTTCTCTCACTTCATCTGTGGTTAGCAATTTTATTACTATTCTTTTGTTTCTATTTATCCAACTTTTTTTTCTATTGGGTGCTTTGAAGAAATAGACCTGACTATTGTTCTCAGTGTGTACCGTTGCCATCTTCCTAGGTACTTTTACTACTATAAAACACGACAATAGGCAGAAGGTATATACATTTATTGCGAGAAGTTACAAAGTATTTACATAATACATATAGCCTTCAATCGTCTATTTGCATCTTCCGATGTGTTCTGCAATCTGAACTGTCTTCTCGGCTAGCCTCTAGGTGTTCTGCCAACACCGTGCTTTTGATGCACTGAAACTCTGTCCGACAGTTTTTACAACTTCGACGCCACATCCCGATAAACACTACTAACAAACATCCTTGTGAGTAGCGTCCACCACACTACAATCAATCTGTATAAATTAGAAGCATCAAGAACATGAACAAAAATTGTAATGATTATTTGCAAGGGTTGGATTATTCAATGTCGTATCAACATCAAGGATGCTTCGATATATGTCATAGTTCTGGATTATGTTTAGCAGTGAAATCCAAGACGCTCATCTCAACTTGTTAGGGACTCCTCACCCGCAACTACCCGTTTTACGTGTTGAAGATGAACATCAACACCAGGATTTAGGCGCATCCAACGAATGGGTCTTAGGATAGAACGTCCGTCTTGAATTCCATTGCTAGTCATAATTCAAAATAATGTAATGTTATTCGGTAGTAAAACTCAAGGAAGTTATCACAGCTTTTCCATTGGGCTTGCACTTTAGACACTTTACACGTTTACCTTTCACTCGATATTATTAAATCATTAATTTGTTGCTACTTTATTTATCCCGGCAAACCTCAATCTCCGTACCATAATACAGTTCCGGTTGTTTAAATGATTTCATCCGGATTTGCTTCTGTTGTCACTTCACAACAGCACCCCCGTGGTGTAATCAATAAATGATCATTGTTCATAGTCAGACCTCACAAGTACTAACTCAGCAGGCACCGCTCTTTCTACAACCGATAGTAACACTCAAACATACAAATTCTCTTATCTGTTTCAGTAACCTAACTACTGAGTTTCTCAAGGCCTATAGCTTATCACTTCACACTAGTGAGACCGATCTCCATATTTCCCTAGAATTAAGGATATTTATACACGTACACAAACTGACTTTCATATTTTTACGAAGGCAACAGTGTCCAATATTCTTAAGATAACTGACCTCGCCTCTAAACCAAAGACTATGGTTCTTGTTATAAATGAACCATATGAAGGGAAAATATTCTAGACGCTTAGTACAGATTGTACGGAGTTATAGACAAGAAAGTGCAAAGTATATTGTTTACCAACAATCTCTCGAAGTGCGTTTGTATTTTTCTGTCGTCATATTTTAGCACCAAATAACAATAAACACTGTGATATTTTGAAACAAGCCTAATAATAATAAATTTTGTCGGTCGGATCACTCGAAGGTAATTGATTTTTATTTCATAGACATCTAACACATTTGTAGGGACTTCTGAAAAGTCACACACCAACGTACATCTAGATTGTATATTACTTCACACTAATTGTTTGTAATATATAATGAAGCTTAAGATACGTTGACCACGCTTAACACCGATATCATTGTGTACAAAATTTGTTGTATTCTGGTGAAGCACACTCAGCCTTTAAGAAATTGGTTTCGAACGAACTAGGTCACAGTATCATTAGATTATTTTATAAAAAAAGTTATGGAGTAATTAAACGACGAAAGATACGTTGTATTTACACGGCGTAAGGTAATACTAATGATTTTAGATATTACAAGTACGGAAGACATTATAGCCATTTAATGCTGTTGTAAATACTAGTCCTGGTATTTGTGGATGCCAGTGTGCTTCCTTTAACTCTGTTTGGCCACCATGAACAAATAACAATTGAACTGGTATGCCTAAATCTTCTTCATCTGCCTCATGATTTGAACTTGATTCATTTGACTGTTTTAATTCTTGTTCAGATTGTTCTAAACTAATGTCCCAGAATGTAGCTTGATCGTCTTCACATGTAGCTACAAACATTCCAGCATCATTCGGATGCCATTCCACTGATGTGATTGGTTTCTTGTGGTACTACAAGACAAACCAAAAACATCATCTTAATATAATAATGACAACAACAATTGACACTGAGATTTTACAACAAAATAATTTACTAGATATCAAAAGTAAACTTAACGTGATGGTAGCTAATGGGAATCCATGTAAGAGAAATAAAACTGTGACTTTCCATGAGTGGATTAATAATACTATTCAGACAGAATGTAGAGTCTACTAGTGGAGAATGCATTATCTAAACTATGCTCATAAATGAATCAACCAATAATATTTACGTTAAACGCTTACCACGTAGAGGCGGTCATATTCTGTTTAATTGTCAATCACAAGATTTTGCTTTTTCTATAAACAAAAATGATTCTTTCCACTGATTTCATTTGCTGCATTTTTTTACTATCGTTTGAAACAAGTAACGATTAACTGTACAGTTTACCTGTTTCGACTATACCTACGCCAAGATTGTTTCACAGTTATAGGACTAACTCAAGAAATCTACCTGCAGGTCATAAAAGTTATTGACTGTTAGATTAAATCACGTCAGTATATACAGATGTGAGTGGGGGTTGTGCGGTCAGTGGTTGAGGACGTTGGGTCAAACCACTCAGGACGACCCACATTTACTCACTATTTTTCTCTAAATCTTGGGTTTCATTACTTTTTCATGCGCGCCTCTTTATTTCTTATTCTCAAACCATATTCTTAATTTTATTGTAAGTGCAATTCTTCCAACTTTTTTGTCATTCATCTTGTTACTCTTATCTTGTCGTGCTGACGTGGTGTAGAGAGTTAGGCTAACGTAGGTTTGACTGGTTCTACGTTGATTAGGTCTGAGTGCAACGAATTCACAGTTGTATCGTGTGATTACAATTACCCCTTACAAAGTAACTGATTTATAGTATAACTCATGTACGTGGCATAAATTAAATCAATTCGTTTGACTGGAATGGTTTACATTGTGTCTCAAAAGAAGTTATTTGGAGTCAGTTAACACGGTTCGATTCCAACCGAAGCTCAGTCAGCAGTAAGAAACTAACATGAGGAACTTTATACGTTGACTACCTTTTATGTGTCACTAAAGAGCAAATTATACCTACGTGATAACTCTCTAGAAAATAATCACTTGGACTATGTTATTTAAAACTCGGTTATATGCCAGAATTTACCCATCGCTTTACCGTTTAATCTTTTACAAGTGACTATTAGATTATTTTTAACGATTCGCAAGTCAAAATGTCAGTCTTTTAATATCAACAAACTATCTTAAAAATACATTATGTTTACCACACCGAAAGTCCAATACAAGTTAAATGAGATAACAAAATTATATAAACTACTGATTGAGACTATAACAGCTTATATCCAACATACACGTGGCTAGTTACCATTTAAAAAAGTTTATAATAGTGATACTTACATCAAATAAGTGCGTATAAGCAGGTACAGATCCATCGTTTGACTTTTTGCCACTGTAACAACTATGAACTAATCGTAAATCCCATATTCTTAAAGTTCCATCATCTCCCCCCGTTAGCAAATTAAGAGCTTGCAACTTATTCCAAGAAGCAACATTTATATCAGCTGGATGGGCTTCTGGAACTGTAAGCATGCTTCCACTCGATATTGGTGCGCGAACATCCCATACACGTATACTATGATCCGAAGAAACAGAGATAAATACAGTTGGTTCCGTAGGAGACCACTGAATATCTTCAACTGAATCTGTATGACCTAAATAAGCTCTATTTGATACAGCCCAGTCAGAAGACTGAGAAGTTAAAAAAATTGAAAACAGTAAAATAATGAACCATCATTCAACTACACATTAATATGACATAAACTACTGACATTAATGGACAAATTTCATATTTATCAAGTTGAAAAGTGATGAGGAATATCGTTTCGAATACGAATCACTTACTGAAGAATATAAATACCATCTACGAATGGGGAGTAATTGTAATGGTGATAATATGGTAACATACTGATGTTAAGAACGTTCATGTTAGCAACTTTTAATATCACGAAGCTGTAATCAGAGAATTATCTCCTTCAAAAGTAAGTATATACATTTAGGTTAACAGGGAGATCCTTACAGTGGAGTTATTCTAATTATTTATCAAATACTGGATTTGGAAATATCTTTTACCTTTATCGACTACTTTGACGCAATGTACAGTTAGTGCATAAATGACTGGAAATGCTGGAGACCCAGATAACACTGGTGTTCAAGTTTACAACCTAAAAAAACATACTACAAATAACATTGAAGAACAACTGTTTCACATCGACACGGGTTTATCATTGATTTATGACCAAGTTTACATAAAAACTTAGTAACTAGAAAGTAAATGGTCAGTAATTAACAGGGATATTTGAAACATTTTCAGAGAATAATCAATAAAAGTATTAAACTAAAAATTATATACTACCATCAAGATATTCAATAAATGAATGTAGATAAACAAATTCACGTGGATTGGTATACAACATTATGAGGCATATTAATTGTGTAAATTATAGTCGTACTATTTAGGTGTCCGGAGAGCAGTAACTGGATTAGGTTCGACCGTTAGACATAATGGTTGATAACAGCACCACAACTCCCTACGAAGAATAAACTTGATATCAAAATTGTTGCTACTGCAAAAAACGTTTAAGCTCCAAAACTAAAGATGAAAGTTGAACTTTATGGAATGATTTAAAACGTCGTCGGTTGAATGACACGACTAACTTACAGTACATGGCTTCTTAAATAAACAAATCCCACCAAATTGTCCTTTGACGTGTCTGTTACTACAACGATTCTCAAAACAAATCGCTGTGTTGACAGTGCCAAGAACTTTTTTGGTCTAAACATATATCGGATAACTTATTATTAACTACACATAAAAAAAACAAAATTGTTTATAAACGACTTATTGACATGGATCATCATATCCAAACTGGGCATTTTATCCTGTTGTGGGTGATAAACTCCCAGTTGTTAACTCAAATGTTTCTATGATATTTTCTAACTCGTTAGTTTTAAAGGTAATTCCAATATTCTGGGATTTGTGTGGCCTTGCTTAGCTGCACACAAATATCTTTAAGGTCATAAAAACTGGTACAGTAAGGAATAAAGAAGAGGATGCGCTACGCAAAGCATAGACAAAATTGAGAGAAAAAAGGTTGTGCGACTGACGGGAAAAAATAAATAAGCGAATAAAATAGTTAAAAAAATAGTAAACAACAGGAGACATAGTTCAATGAAAAATCCAAACGAGATAATTCAGAATTCTTTTAGTTTAAAAAGTTCGTATCACATTAAAGAATATGAAATTAAACTACAGAAGGATCAGCACTGGGTTCTGTTCCGGGAAATGGCTGATAATCTATTGAACTGACGGACACTTCAGAGCCGTGGTGAACCAACAAATCTCACTTGTTGATTCTGAGTTTTCTATTTTGCCAAATTCCTTTCGTGTAAAACTTTACATTACCTTACATAACATTACACTACATGCTAATAATCAGTAACCAGTTTCAACTATAATATCGTTTGACGTTAATGTGTCTTATTACGTAGTCTTATAATTCCCAGTGAATGTTATTTCAGTGTATATATTTTCTAAGTTATTGACCTATTTCCTATAATGAAACACTGACTCAAACCTTTGTTATTCTTATCACACACTAATTCTTATCATCACACTATCAATTTGTACATTGTTTTCTATTAAATTTGTTTATGTCTATCTATTCCACTGTTATCACTCATAAACCACCTTAATTGGTTTAATAATTTCGCAAATGTACATAAATATTACCATATATTAGAGCAAATCCTGATGAGGATCTAACTGAAAGAAATATTGTTCGCTTGTATATGTTGTTTCAACAATCCAGGTATTTGTACGAATAAACTTGAATTTATCTATCACTGTTACTGCATATTCTTTAAATTCATAACACTTGTTTCCAATTCTAGTGTACTACTCATTAAACATTTATTTTATTGTAACAGTTTCCATTCTAGCGCTCTTCATTCCCATTTTACATTGTTGTCTACCTTTGTAGTTTCGACACAGCTATTCGTTATCAAATAGTTTATCCTATGTTGTTGTAAGTAACCTTTATATATCCATTTTAGGAAGCATCCTTATTTGATTTATACTAATACGGTAGATTCTGTAGACAACTCACGTATTCTGGTTTGTAATGCATGCCCGTCATATATTTTCATAATCACAGTACCATATTCGAGATTATTTTGCGTTTTTGATTGCCATATTTTACGCATCTCTTAATCGTGTGGTTAGAAGCTCTAGTCCAGTCCTATACAAATTTCTTTCATATCACGGCACGATTTCATTCAGTGAACAACTCCCAGCTTTTCACAACCAGTCCTACAGTTGGTAAATCCTGCACAATGTGAAAGTCACAGGGATGACATTCGTAAACATATCCCAAGTCTAGATTTCAGGATGTTGACATCAAGTGAGTTATCGCCATGTGTCTGAACACGTATTGATGAACTTCTGGGTTACCAACATAATGTTGCCAATGAATGTAAGCAATCCTTGAGACAAAAACGATCGAATACAAAGTCGCCGAAAATCCTAAACTCAGAGAGGTTAGTTTCTGCAAGCATAGAGCTGCTGTCAAAAACGCCTTAAAGACGTGACGTTTCGCAGCTACACTAACAGCACGGCGGAGCTAAGAGGAAGCCAAATCTGCATAACCTGCTCCAGTTTTCACTATGCGTAGATTGATCTCACCAACCATACCACCGCCAACACACATAACTAGAAAAGTCATCGTAGTCCAACAACCAAAAAATTAAGAAACGTTTTTTGTTTGCAACAAATTACATATTAACAAATATGTAATATATATGTTTTAATAATCTGGGAGTCACACTAATGTACTAAGAGGACAGAAAAAGTAGTCGAAATAAAGCTTCTACTCAAAAGATGAAGCCACAGAGCTACAATCCTACCCGAAACCTCACTCAGAGAATTCTCTCTTTTATATGTTCATTGCATTCCCACATTAGCCTCTTAAGATTATTCAGGTAACAACAAAGTATTCGAGTTCAAAAATCATGGGATTCAAAGTATTGGATTGTACAGAAATAGTGTGTATATCCGCCCCCAAATGCCTTGGTACGGCAGAGAGTGGGGAGAGTCAGCTCTCCCTCTCGAAATTTTCTCACGTGGCTACGTGCATACAACCACTGCCAGGAAAGTCCAACTCACTACCTTCTCGTGGCAGGGATGTTGTTTACGAAACTGTGAGGACGAAAAGCAAATCTCCGGAACTTTAACCGGGTTGGTTATGTGGAGCATATATGTTTGGTGCCTCCTTTTACCAATCTTTATGTGTTTAAAAAAATGAATAAATAAATAATCTACCTACAGTTTCGTAAAACTAACTTGAATAAAAACTTAAAATTCAAAAATGTCGATAAATATAAACAGCATTATTGATGATAATAACTTCAACCATTACATTGATATAACCACATCCTAGCAAAGTTAATCATGGATAACGAACGACTGCTAATAATAAAAAGTGAGGACCCTACTTACTCTAGGTGTCCAGTGATAAATACGGCCATTACAATCTCCTGTAGCTAAATGTCCAGAAGAATTCGTATGAGTACCCCAGTCCAAAGCGAAACCTTCTGAACCATGACCATTAAATGTGAATAAAGGTGAAGGAGATTCATTGTGACGTACATAATCAGCCATGACAGCTGAATCATTTACAGCTGTAAGGGGTCTGGTTAAATCCCATATGAATACCTAAATGAGAGAAAATGATTGTGGTTAAGAAGTAAAGAAAAATAAACTTTACGTCATCCAGTCGCCTTTACAAGCAACTTCTTGATATATATATATATATATATATATATATATCACAAAAGATATGCACAAGGGAATCGAGCAGGATTTCCTAGTAGGTTTATTTAACTAACTTGTCAAAAACCACCTACAGTACAACTAATTCACTTCATTAGTTCGGACGATCAGAACGGTACTAATTCAACATAATAATGAAGAGTATTATACATCTCAACAAAGCATGAAGATTAAAATCCATGGGTATAACTGATATGGAGTAACAAAAAAACAGGCTTGTGAAAAAAACTGACAATCAGCTGGTAGACCTTGAGTTAAGGTTTGTAATTAAATATCTCATTTTTGCTTGTTGCCAGTTGGATTACTTGAGGTGGCTTTGAACATTGTGATCACATACGATTTATGAACATTTCAGCAATCATTTTAATTTCTCTCTTAAAAATTGTTAGTCTCTCATACAAACTTGGAAAGTGTGATGAGAAGACGGGGTTCATTTGAAAAATATGATGTCTTTGCGTAAAACATTTCGAAAAATCTAGTCACACATACTTGTCAAATCATTTTATATGAAAATTGGAAGTTAGTTAAATAAACGTCCGCTCAACATAAAATGATAGCTAGAAATAAAGAGAAAAAATAATCTGATATGAAAAGAACAAGTTATCAAACCAACCTTAACTCTAAAACGAATTAGGTTACCAAGGCAGATTTCAGATCAAGACAAACTGTTTCTGTACACATAAAAGTTTGCATGTTTTCATAAACAAAGTTGTTACAAACTCAAGAATGAGCTCTAGATAATTTCTATAAACAGCGTTAATAGCTGTTTTAAGGTCGATTCCTAAGACCCGTTTTAGCTGTTTTGCAATTGACGAGCATGGTCCTCAACTCCCCACGTCTATCCACGCATTTGAGACTGACTGATCATTAGGCTACTTAGGCACAAATTTCATCACCTTTGATTGTAACATTCGATTACTTCCAATGTGGCCGCAAATACGTTAGTTCATACATACAGTGGGACGTGACGTGTATACAATTTTTAGGCCTATATGAAAGCATGGGTTTTGTCTTTCTGATAACTAATTCTGCACCATAATGTTTTTCGATGGCTGGTTTTAGCCTCAGCTTTGGAATTATACTATTTAATTCTCCTCTATAAGGTAATGTTACATGAACCCTTTTTGAAACAGAATCAAGAGTGGTTTCCAGTGTTAACTAGCTTTTACATCAATGTATAAACTTTAACAGATACCCGTTTAATTATGTTTATTACCACAAAACATATAATATCGAAACTTTTGATATCATTGGTACGTAAAATGAGATTCTGGGGAGATAGTGTTGTGATTTAATTAAAACCAACAAATATTTTTCAGATCGAAAGATTATTTGAAAACTTATACTCATAAATGGCAAACTGATTGCTGGGTAAATAACAATACTATGTAACTAAAAACGCTCCTCCGTCAAAGGTTTTTGGATTAGTATTTAGCATAAACGGGAAAAGTAAACATGCTTAATAAATGAAGTCTTTATATTGATGCACATGAATGACAATAAAATTATAAATGTATATCCTTTTTAACACCGATGGTTCAAGCAGTAAACTGTCTAATACTTCAGTTTATTATTTACCTCAATTTAGGCACTCGGATAGTATCGCTGGCCTAACTTACGGTTGAGTACATAAACATAAGTTCAGTAAATCAGTTGTCTCCTTATTTTGTTCAAATCTGTCAAGTTTAAAATAAGATCACAAATAGAATGATAACAAACTCCAATATTTTTGGAAAAATTGGACTAAACAAGTTACTCGTGTTAAAGGTGGTAATAAAAATTGTTAGAATTACTTCGATACATAAAAGCTGAAGGAGTACCCAGTCAAAAAATAAAACGTTCTGTACAACCGATAACAACTCTACCATGATTGACTACTGTTAATAATTGTAGTTGAGCTAGAAGAAGAGTATGCAATTAATTGACTGATGGACTAAATGATATCAATTGTATTATACTAATAAGTTCTATTAAGCATAATGACAGCTACGTATGTGCTTTTACTGGTTTTATTTAAGGAGACAACACGAGAACGAGTAAACTTAATTGTATATCTACTGAATCACCATACTGCAATATTATGCTAAATAAAAACATTAAAACTCAAAATGCTAACCAATCCATTTTCTGACCAGGATGCAGCAAGGTATCGACCCCTATGTTGTCTCGCCCGGACTCGATTTACTGTACCTTGATGTAGGATAGTAGCCGCTTCAACATCAGGTTCCGCATCAAGATCTCCATCAGAATCACTTTCGTCCTCTGAATCAGAATCCGTGTCTTCATTAGAATCCTGTGGGTGTCAAATAAATAAGATAAAATGACTATAGTAGTATTTTAAGAGTAAACAAATTGATACATACTAATGTTTCACAACTGCAAATTCAATAAAGTGAATGAGATTGCTTTTGTCCTCTTTTCTGCACCACTTTCTGGGGTGAAAAGACCAGCTTAGTGACTGATGTCTATTCAGGATGACTCCAGGATATCAATTGAAAATACATTTGAGTTAATCGATCACAACGTGTACATTTGTTATCGAACAAAAATCATACTAAAAATGTCCGTTAGTAGAGGTCACATTGAAAACTTTACTGTCACAAAAATTCATCTAAATCGACATCGATTTCCTTTCCCATAAGTTACACTAAGGGAATGAACATTCCTAACACGAATTTCGGAAAACCATCATCTTATGCTTACAATGAAGCAAAATGAAATCCAGAAAACCAACCAAGATGTTTATATATATCGAAATATTGGTTTTATTAACATACATAAATGCTTAGGTACGGAAGGAAAGGAGTCAACCAAAGGTAAGTAGATACTGAAGAAATTTACATTACTGTTTTCAAATATAGTCAGTGACTGGGCAAACTGGTGAGATTATTTCCGCAATCAGTCATCCACGTATAGTCACAAATCGATATAAATTTGTGCAATCAAATATGTTAGAAGGACATCTACCCAAATACATAGAACAGAAAGCCTGTTTGGTCTGCAGGTGATGAAACTGAAATAATCCCCCAAACATAGAACAGCATTATGTGTTAAAGTATTATCGTATGGAATTAGCGCAGAAAGCCTATAACAATCATGGAAGTTGTAGATTTATCATTGAACTGCAACAGAAAACCACATAGTTACTGGCACAAACATTATAATATCTGGGTTTTAAAAATATTTACCGAACAAAATTGAGAGCACAAATGCAACATGTGCATTTAAATTAGGGACGACGCCAGGGATATACACTAAGCTACTATCAAATTTAATTGTTGGTCCACCGGACTAAAATAAGTACTTACTTTATAAACATGGTTCGCTATGTATTGTAGGAATAATAGACATTTGCTTTTCACTTTATCTTCTGACATCTCAGTTTTAAGTGGAAACATAACTCGTCAAGTCCCCCATATCGACTATTCCACCAGTTATCAAAGAATGATAGATATAGATAAGCTGTACGTCAAGTAGAACATGTAACTAAAATTTCTTGGCACGGTGCGCACTTAGTTAAATAACAAAATGACTCCCTTGATTGGTTTGTAATTTGCTTATTAACAAGTTTTTTCTTTAACCATATCAAAAAAATTTTGCCCACCAGTTTTTAGACACCTAATCAACTGCTTCATATTAAATAATAAACCAAGAATTGTCAAAAACAGTAAAACGTCAAAAGGTAACAGTGAATATTCCTACTGACTAGCTATAAAATTCGACCTCAATTCCAAGCAAATGACTGAATTGTGAATAGATATATAAACTGCAAATTAATAAACACTGACGACGAACTGTCTGAAAGAGTATTCGAGAACTGAACAGTGAAGCTGACCAACAGAACTCCCAGAAATGCACTAGAGATTGAACTTACTGAGGCTATATTAAAACATACTACTACAGGCCCCCAAATGCCCTGGTACGGCCGAGAGTGGGGAGAGTCCGCTCTCCCTCTCGAAATACTCTCACACGGCCACGCGTATATAGCCTCTGCCAGGGAAGTCCTACTCACTGCCTTCTCGTGGCGGGGGTGTTGTTTACGAAAATGAGAGGACGAAAAGCGAATGTCCGGCGCTTTAACCGGATTCCAAACCAATGGTGCACATGGGCTCCAGTATCCTGCGGGAACAAATGGCGAATGAATCAATTGTTGGTCACCGGCTTCCATGGGACTGCATCTCCTTACGATGCTCCACTGCCTTGTGGATAAGACCTTCAGGTCGAAGGCTCGGGGTGTGGCCCCCTAAGAAAACCACCTGCTTCGGTTTGGGCACCCGGGCAGTATCACAACCCTCACACACATATCGAATGAGATTTGTGTGGCGCATATGTATTTGGTGCCTCTTTGTACCATTATCTATGTGTTGAAATAAATAATAAATACTACTACAGCACTCAGAATTCAGTCCGCAGATATCAGTTATCTAGAGGGAAATTAAAGTGGCAAAGCAGTGCCACCATGGCACTACAGAATTGAAATGTGATTTAAGTTGACCAGAGGAAAGAAACTTAGGTTTCAACGCAACAGGAAGTTCAACGATGTTTAGAAACTATGCGTATTTCTCACTTTATGACGGTCGTTTCCTAAAGGTTAGAGTAGGATTCTACCGTGCAACTTTCACTCCTTCAGTGAGCGAACTAATATAACAAATGCGCATTACATAGCCTCGTTAAAAAAAACCTATAATTGATTTACATCGGAATGATTCAGTCTTTTACTACATCAGTAAAGGCAATTAGGATGCTTGATCCTTAACGGAACTAAACTAAATTGATCGCTAGACGTAGTATTTATTATTTAAGTCTTGATTGCAACGAACCTTTCTTTTGAACGGCAGCATATTGGACAGACGCATGATTACAAGTTTGTTTTGATTATCTTTAGGTGCCTCAGTACCCGATATGAGGCAAACACTGTGAGCCTCACCATTAACTTCAACACAGCGGTCAAAACCAAGGTTATCAGTTAGAATATCAAAACTGAGACTTGGAGACTCCACTTCTAATTCGAAAAACATTCTATAAGCACTTTTATCCATTACTAGCTCTTCGTCATCCTCAAGTGGACGAGATCGACCAAGAATGTAAACCTCATTTTTGAATTCGGACCCATCTACTTCCATCAATTCATTATTGTCCTTCGTTTTTGATTTTCTGCAGCTTTTTTCCCCTTCCCGATCGCTCTCCAAAGACTCTTCACTGGAATTACCACTCATCACGAGATCAGACTCAAAAGCCGCACGACTTTCCAAGGTCCATCCAATATCCAATATCTTCAGTCTACAATAATAAGAATGGTAGGTTGGTGAACCTGTATTAATCCTGACACATTGCTTTCCAGTGAAGCTCCAGCCTTTCCTTGAAAGTATTCACTGATGGGGCTGATACCACTTGTTCGGGTAAGGCGTTCCAATCATTGACTACTCGATGAGAAAAACGGGATCCCACTTTAAGTTTATTAGATCGTGCTTTATGAACCTTCTTGCTATGACCTCGGAGATTATTAGTGCTGGAGGGAGCAAACAGATAGGACATATTAACACCCGAATCAAAATTAAAGATACGAAATGCCAGTATAAGGTCACCTCGTGTCCTACGATACGACGAGGGGAAAAGATTTAGGCGTTTTAAACGCTCATCGTAAGGGAGTCTAGAAAGACCCTTCACTAATTTCGTTCCCACACGCTGGACACGCTCAAGGGAGTTAGTATCCTTTACCAGACACGGGCTAGCTGCTTGGATACAGTACTCTAAATGTTGTCTAACATAAATGGGATATAAAATTCGAAACATTTCCTCGTCAAAATATTTGAACGCTCGGCGAAGTGACCATAACGCACGAAAACCTTTGACAGCGGCTGCTTTGCAATGCGTAGTTGTTTTTAAATCATGACTTAATATTACTCCTAAGTCTTTGTGCTTTTGAACGCATGGAAGAGGTTTACCCTCAATAGTGTAACGGTAACTATTACCGTGACCGATGTGCATTAGTACACTCTTCCTAGCATTGATTTCTAAGCCCCACTCTCGAGCCCATCTAACTAAATCGTCTAAGTCAGCTTGAAGATCCACGTGATCAGCCGCACTTTTTATTGTTCTCCAGATTTTTACATCATCCGCAAACAATAATGTCGACGACCTAAGTAACAGCGGTAAATCATTAAGGAAGAGCAGAGGGCCTAAGATGGTGCCTTGGGGTACACCACTTTTGATCGGCTTCCAACCTGATAGCGTTCCGTTGACCCTAACTCTCTGTCTGTGGTCACATAAGAAATTTCCTATCCACTCATGTACAGTACCTATTATTCCGAAGCTCGTGAGCTTCTGCATAAGACCTACGTGTGAAACCTTGTCAAACGCTTTGCTAAAATCTATGAATATCACGTCGACAGACAGACCGTTATCTAGGGCTGCTGTCCAATCCTCCCTCGTAATAAGCAAGTTAGTCAAGCATGAACGCTTGTTACGAAATCCGTGTTGCTCATGAGCTAACAGATTGTGTAAATCTATGTGGCTTAGCAACCTAACCCGAATTATTTTTTCGAGTAACTTAACGACTATGCTAGTTAGACTGACAGGCCGGTAGTTAGATACTATCTGTCGCTGACCGTCCTTAAATATAAGACTAACTATAGCGTCCTTCCAATCTCTAGGGAGTTGAGCGAGTGAGAGGGACATGTTGAAGAGTGTCGCAAGCGGTTTTGAAATAATGTCCGCAAAAGATGACAGCAACCGTGGATGTAACCCGTCAGGACCCGGTATCTTACCAGGTTTGAGGTTAGTTATCAACGGAAGGACAGTTTCCTCAGTCACCTGTACAAATTCCATGGTTGGTATTTCGGTGTGAGTGGGACAAGTATTTGTTACAATAAACGTAGAGAAGACTTCGCTAAAGTAGTCTGAAAAAGTCTCAGCTTTTGCTCGATCTGATTCAGCTAGTAATTCTGAATTGTCGTGTAACAGTAACGAGGGAATACTATCACTACGTTTCATTTGCCATTTAACATACGAAAACAATCGTTTCGGACAAGTAGGGCTATCATATACTAACTATCGTTCGTAAGTGGTACGAGATTTGGCTATGGTTTTCTTACAGATATTACGGTATTTTTGGTACTCACGCTTAAATGGTGCATGACCTGTCAACAAGAATAAGTCCCAGAAATGTTTCCTACGCTTTAAAAGCTTCAGGGTTTCCTTATTAATCCATGGAGTGCAATGTGATAGCTTACGTGCTGACCATGGGATAAACGGCGACGTTACGGACTCGAATGTAGCCTTAAACTTATTCCATTCATCTTCGATCAATCCATCCGCGTCGACCGACCAATCAGTCGGAATAACACAGTTTCTGATTTCCGCAATATTGGCTCGCCAGATATTGGGACGGGGTGGAGCAGATACGAATTGTATACCATGTGTCCTAAACTTAAAGTGAATTACAACGTGATCACTGTTCACTAGTGGAGGAAGGTGCTGAATATCTAAGACATCCCCACAGTGGTGGGTGAGGGTGAGGTCCAGCAGTGACGGATCATGACTGAAATCAATATTTGTCGGTTTTGTGATACACTTTACAAGTGCATACTGAACAACGGCCTGAGAGTACACCAAGGTCTTACCAAGTAAACAGTCATTAGTTTTAGCTATCTTTCCTACTCTTCTGCGTTGTCGCGTCATCCATTTTCCATCGGTCGAAACGTCTACATTAGAACAACTCGGGACAGTAATTGTTTTATCTGGGTCACCGGTTGCTGCTGTAGCAATATGGCCACCAACGTCTAATGACGTGTCACTCACTGAACGTTTCGGGGGAGAACGTTTAACTGCGGGTTGCACAGGTAGATGTCTGGCTTGATAGCACTTACGACACTAACGCAATCTTCGCCATCAGTACCAATGTTATCAGTACAGCCCTCATCAACCTTCTTAATAGGAACAAAAACTACAAAGCCAATGAGAGTTGGGCTTTGAACACCTTTTATATGCAGTGGGGCTTAGTCGTGTGCACATCTTATGGAACCACTTATTACACTCATCACATTGCATCCCTTCCTCCACGGGAAATAAGCAATATGGTTGTTCACATTTATGAGTAGACCTAGCCATCGTGAAAATCAACTAGAACGGTGACAAAAACAGGATATGTAAAGGGATTTTCAAACCTCAACTAAATAAACCAAGTAAAAGTCGACCAAGTATGCTTCGATACAATAAATACACAGAAGCAAAATCGAAAAACTCAATACAATATCACTTTAACTGGGGTAGATGCAATTAAAGTGTCAACAGTAGTTTTGATGCGTAGTTTACGATCAAAACAGTTAATTAACTCAACGAGAAAGAATACCACTGTCCTTTTAAATAGTCGTTGCCGACTAATATATATCAAGTAATTTTCTTGAGCTAGCCCTATGCTTCTTCGGTACGGTTTTAGGTATTTTGTGACGCCTAATTCAGAGGAGACTAGTTACTCGAATGCTTTAGTCCTAGTCAGTTTGGTAGTTATAAGAAGTTTTTTATGTATTGTCATATGAGTGAATGAACTGGTCACAGGGTTGTAGGGGTTCTGGAAACAATAGCTATTCTATTATCAGGCAGCAAGCATTTTTGCTGCAGAGTGAAGAAAAAAGAGAACTATCCAACGAACGTAGCAAGCAAGATAATAAAGTGTAAGGATGACGTCCAAAGGGATATGATAGGAAACAAGAAAGGAATATGCTGATGATAAGGAGTGATAATACTGACGGAAAGGCTGTGATATATTCATCGGTTTCGATTATTCTAAGCAAGAGATGGTAATCTATGGTTGGGTACATTAATGTTAAGCCTTTTGGAGCTATCCTATGGTTAACTGCCCAACATCGTAATCCGTGCCGTTAGTTCAGAGGGGATTTTCACGGGAAAATATGCCTTTTTGTTTCACGTGGTTCTACATGATCATCAATTAACATTTTGACTGGTTAAGTTTCAGCAGATTGGCCACTGCTTGTCTGGACTCAGAACTCGAATCAATTTTTTCCGATTCCCACGTTTATTCAAATCTTCGCGTCATCAGCACAGATGAAGGACTCTAAGCTAGTTTGATTGGAAAGCTCATGAATAAAAATCACGAATAGGAGTGATCTTGAAACGGTTCTCTGTGAAATTATTTGTCTAAAGACTTCTGTTTATGGCATTCAGCTTGGTGAAGAAATTTTGGTTTTTCTCTGAGTGAGCGAAACTCGTCTCCACGACTTTCAATATGGAAAGTTAATGTTGAAGCAAATCGAGAGCTTTTTCGAAAAAGAAAACCATTAAACGGACTGCTATGTTTGGTCATAGTATGTTGCTTAGTTGTCTCAAACTAAGATATTACTGAACGTGCATGGACGGCTTTTCTGAACCCATGTTCGGTTTCACGAGTGATGTCGTTCGTGTCTACGTATTCCCACACTTCGTTATTAAGCAGACCTACCATAAATGAAGCGGCCGTTCTGATACATGTTTGGTGTTTTTCTTCCTCTCCCCTCAAAATAGGATGGAAAAAATCCTGTTTTCGTTGTCATGATTAGAAGTATTTGAATTATTATGCGAACTAGGAATCACAGAAATAACGCACTTAAGGCTATATGGAACTAAGTGAGCACGAACGAACGTAATGTATGTGGAATTCAGACACAGACACATACCAAATACGAAGGAATCACTGGTTCATACAAACTGCCGAAATTCTGATGAATGCCTCGTCAAGTCACTCATCGGTGTACTGGTAGACAAGATTGTCAGGTAGTTGTTGTTTACCGACGACTATCTTAAGGCCCAGAATTTTGATTTTTCGTACTATCAGGATAGTCATGCTCTAGACTGTCATCTGGTTGTTGGGCGACACAGCGTTCCGTGTCTCATGTCTCCGAATGCACTGTGTGATGAAATTAGGACCAAAGAATTCTATTATTTCTAAAGTGATTATTTCTTCACCGTAAAGTCATTTAAGAGTACATGTTCATTTGCTTACAAACTCTAATTTAATAATTAAATTATGGTGATACTTCATGTTGGCTTGTGTTTTAGTACCTCAGTTGGTTTGTAAATACCTCTCGTAGCCTCATACTCCATCTATTCCACAATGACAACTAAGGTATGTCAGCAGAATCTTACAAATAAACTTTTCCGCTTATTGGAGATCCCACGCCTTGCCTGATACAGGTGTTCCGTTCCTCACTTCAGATGAAATTCTACCCCCCCTAGAAGACTTTTCAGCTAGGATGATGT